CCGGGCTCCGGCGAGCGGCAAAAAAAAGCAGAAAATTGAGGATAGAAATAGACGGAATCCTCCTGTACAATGGACGTGGAGCTCGAGGAGGAAGAGCGCATTTGCCTCAGGTGAGTGTGTTGACAGTTTTGCCGCACAATGTTGGGCGCTTAAAGCCATCAATGATTTCGATGCGGGAAGTTGAGCGTTTTATGTTTAACTTTTAGAAACATTTATATTGTTATTTTTATTTGAGAAAATCGAAAATCCCCTATCCCCCTACAACTTGTAAATTAAGATGCTGTTTCCTACTCAAATCTAGAAAGTTTCAAAGAAAAAGTATCTACGAAACTCTGGGCTAGTAAGATAAATACCTCTGAAGTTTAGCCGAGTTAAATTCCAAATTTTCCATCAATTAAATTTTGAGAGCCGCAAATTTCCAAAGTTAAGCTTAGAGAAGTTTGCCTGTAGTTTGCCCCCGGCAATGTGTCTATATGTATGGCAAATTCTAATGGAAAGGCAGGCGCCAATTTCGGTCCACTTCTATTTACAACAATCAATTAAATGGGCCGCCCGCCAACAACAGTGTGTCGCATAGAATGTGGAATTGTAGCCGATGAAAGCTAGGGGAACAATAGGCGACAACAGCAACAAAGCCCCCGGTATTCAATGTCAATCTCATATTTCAATTATGCTTTATAAATGGCAACAGACGACGCGTCTGAGTCTGAGTTCGAGTTCCAGGCTCAATGGACTCGTTTGGGGGCGAAGAACCTTTAAATGAAGCCCAGAAGTGTGCGAGGTATCCCACACATATTTAGGAAGATGAAATCATATTGTATGACTTTTTCCTCAATTTAATTTCCTGGCCAATTAAAGGCTGCCTGGGAAATCGCGCATACGCCGCGTGCGCCCTGCAAAATTAACTTTGGGAAAAAACAAGCCGAGCTCGCTCGTGACCAAATCGAATTATAAAATTTTAATTACATAATAACGCACAGACAATCAACTTGGTGTCCCCTTTAAGTGCAAAAAGCTGAAGAAGAGAAGGGTTGGACCTGCCCCACAGTCATTACATTGAATAATTGAAGGCTGGCCAATAACACGCGGCAAGTAATGATGAAATAAAATCGAAAGTCAGGCGCTTAGAGTTATGCGATTAAACGGATTTAACTGCGACGACGACTAGGTCCTTCCGAGCATAACTTGCCATACTGGCCATAAATTTAATATTGGTGAAGAGGATTCCTCGGCGGAGAGCAGCGGCAGCTTGCGGATGCCAGGACAACTTGAAACGTCTGCTTAATGCTATGCAAATTTCTTTTTCTATGCAAATTTGCACACGGAGTAAACAACAAGCGGCGGAATCGAAAAGTGGGAAACCTCTGGCCCAGACGACAAGCGCAAAAACTAGGTAAAAGCCAACCGAATCTCCCATAAAATGTGAATTTTAATGACAAACAACAATGGGCCAGGCCAAGGGACAGGTACTAGTGGGGGCCGAGGGAAAAAAGGAAACTGAGTAAGAAGCAAAAGTTGTGGAGGAAAATGGCGGAAAGCTGGAAAAGCGGAAGGCACATAGCGCGACTCTTAATGGGAGAAAACTTTTGCTGCAGCGACTAAAGCTAATTAGTAAGCCATAAACATAAATAGCCATGTCCTGGCGACTTTTACGAGTCCCTTCGACTTTCTCCGTTGGCCAACTCAAAGTGTCCTTGCAGTATGCATACAACTCTGACCAAATCCAAGGATTTGTGGTCTGCGGTGCCGGCCAAGCGATTTGTCAATTTTAATGGCTTTCGAATACTTGCTAACTTGATTGCTGCCCTAAAAAGTGGCCACTTATACGGCTTATTGCCTTTTTCTCTTGCCAAAGAAGCTGTCCTGATTGCTTTCCCCTCCGCCCCGCTCCCGACACGCGCTTGAAAGGAATTCAGAACGTGTTTACCCAAATCAGGAGCAGCCGTCAAATAAAATGCTTTGATTTGAGCCAGCCAAAGTGGGGCAAAAGGACATCAAAGCCGTGGTCCTGGCTAAGCGCATTTTGTGCATAATAATGCGTAACAAGGACGAGCACGAGGAAATTTAATAATAATGGCATTTCACAGGACCGCAAGCAAGTTCCAGCTGAGGTTTCCCAAAAGCCACAATGCGGGAATATGTTTCGTGTTCAACTCTGATTGATCCCAAAAACATGTTCTTGAAAACATTTTATGTGCTGGTTCTAAATACACATAAAAAAACAAATTTAACAAAATGTTTAAGGTATTTTAAATTTAAATATAAAAATATTTTAAAGTACTTAAAGGCGTGAAGCGATCCGCTTTAATGTTTCTTAAAACTTTTCTTAGAATCCATTTATAAAACAAATGCAAATCTGTTATTCATCTCTTCCAAAAATACTTTTTCCGTGTCACGGAAAACCCTCCCTTTTGTCCCGTTTTTATGGGCTCTTCACTCCCTTTTTCCCTTTTGACCCAAACTGAGCCGCTGAGTAATTTTTCTATTTTCTGCTTTGTTGCTCGCCTTCAATTGCACACCCATGTTGACCAATGTCCGACATTAACCCAAATCCAGCACACTCACAAGTGCGGGGGTTGTGTCTCTGTCTGGTCCTTTATCGGCCAGGACTCTTAGCCAAATGAAGTTGCCACGGGCACTGGCCATATCCATAACCGAACTGGCTGATTCCCGTTGCGGTGAATTGGCCACCTGCTGCGTTTGTTTTGGCCTGTCATTCTGATGGTTGCCATTTCCTGACCCGTGCCGGAAATTAATTACCAATGAAATTATGCTCGTAGCTTGTTTTCATAGATTTTATGACAAAACTTTTGGGGAGACAGTTATTAGGGCAAAGGTAATAACGTCGATTTGCCTAAAGGCCAGCTTAGACTTATTGAACTTGGTTAATTGGAAGGTTTTGTTAAGAAAATCCATGGAAAGAGAAAAAAGACATATTAAAGACTCATAATTATCATTAATTGAACTTGATTTAGTAATACAAATTAGTGTTGTACGATGTGAAGTTTAAGGCTTTCTTCTGTTTTTCAGTAGAAATACAAAATTATAAAGTAAATTATATACCCTCCTGATCTAATAAATCACCTCAAGTAATGCAGGTTAATTTAATGACCCTCCCCAAACCCCCTTAGATTAAGCTTCGGTAGTGAATCTTCCACTAATTATCTATAAATATTTGCCCGAGACTCACATACTCACGTATTATTAGAAGCCGTTGAAACGCTTTCGCACCAGCTGGATGCCACGCCCCCTTATGGCAGTAAGGGCACGCCCGTAATGGAAGGGCTTAAACGCTTAATAAATAAACTTAGCAGCTTGCCAGACATGACTGCTGGTTTTGTTGTAGTCATATCGATAGCTTAACCTTAGCCAAGTAGTTGTTGGTATACTGAACAAAAATAAAACAGTAATATTCATATTAATACAGTATTTTAAGTTTAAAATTATTGTTATTACTCGTTTATTAGATCTCTTTTAAGACACTACTTCTATAATAAGAAGATATTTAATATTTTACATTGATAAATCAAAGTAACGAGCCAAGAGCAGCTATAAATAGAGAATTTAGCCACAATTACAAACCTTCTTATAACCTGATTGCGAGCTATTTCCTTATCAATTTCCCATATATTTATAGTAAAAGGTTCAACTTCAACCCCTTATAAATATTTTCTTCAAGTGTTCTTGTTGGTGGCACTTGGGGCATGACAATAATGCATGGAAACCGCCCGTTGCGGCCCTCGGGTTAAGCATAAATATGTCAAGTGTTAATTGCTGCCACTTAACGTAGAGCACAAACTCAAATACAACCACAGAGACATCTGCACACACAAACATGCGTATATATATATACATGCTATATGTGAAGGAAGACGTGTAAATATGACTTTAATCTACTTAGCTAAAACCCCGAACAACACCCAGAAGCCACCCCTTTCCCAGTCTCGAGTTCGAAAGTCGCATCACAAAAGCAAACACACACACAGGGACTCTGGCCCACACTCACTTGTTACACACCCAATAATGTGCTTTAACAAGTTTCTTATGGCCATAAATTCAACAAGGCAACAAAAGCTCATAAAAAGGACCGGCTGCCGGCCTTGGATCCCGTTTGAGCCCAAGTGGGTGGCCCGAATGGCTGATTGGCGACTTGAAACTAACCCCACCGGCTGTCTATACAAATAAGAGACGGCATTGCAGACATGCCTCTGACATTTCATATCTGAAACAGATATGGCCGCCCAGGAGCGCACCTCAAAGTCTCAAACGGAGTAGCATTTTCCAATTTCCAATCTGCTGATGCCTATGTTTGAATATTTGAATATAAGTAAACAAGGGGACACTTTAATTAAGGCTGCTATATTGCCCCCAGCTAAGCAACCCATTTAACTTGAATTCGAGTCAGCTCAAAAATATTTTAAGAATTAAAAATGCCAAAGGGAGATGCCAAGGCTTTACAATTACAAGTTTTTTAGCAAGCTTGTCTAAGTATTTATAAATGAATACCTTAATAAAATCACTTTTTACTTGCACTGAAATATATACAAACTGCAAATCTTTATAGATTAACTTTAAATCAAATTCTAATTGACAAAAATGTGTTTTAAATATTAAGCCATCTTCCCAACAATGAAGACTTACACAGTTGCTTAGAACGCTTACCATTCCTGCTTCAATTTCGCCCAAGATAGCCATCCGTTTAGCTGATTATCATTTAGGGACCCATCATAATTTTCGCTGTCATTATTGTCTGCCGGCCGAAGTCGAGTCAATTACCATATCAGCAACATTGTTGACCAAAACTGATTTCACTTGGCGTCACAGCGAGAGAAAGAGAGAATTGCGGAGAATATGAAGAGAACTAAACAAAAACAAAAACAGAAATCGGAAAAAAATACAGCTCGACAGTATCATATTATATCCAGGCGATGTCGAACTTTTCTCGCTCAGTTGTCAAACGCCAGTCCGATGTGAAAGACGCGAACGAATCACATTTAAGCAAGCAGCCGCGGGCGGCAGCGAAATTAATAATAATAATAATAAATAAAACCTGTTGAGCAGTCGGTCGCACCTAACATATGTCCATATAGACGCGCAGTATAGATCAACATTTGCATAGTACATGACGCCGAGTCGAAGGCGGTGAAAAGTGCAAAGTTCCTGCGGTGAATCACTGGAGAATAGATTCCATATTTACATATTTGCCCCTGCCAATGATGGCACCTTCTGTCCCATCTGTCCCCGCCCCTCGTTCGATTTATCGATTTTGTATTTTGAATACGAGCATTGTTGCGCCATTATCAACACATTTATATACGCGATAATTATATTAGAAGTTTATCTCGAACCCTCTCGACTCTCGCTGGCGATAAACTCCACTCCGCCCGATTTGGATCGGTTCAGTTCAGCCCGATTTTCTTTCGGGGATTACTCACCGCCAGTGGCTCCGGGTGGAAAGTGGAAAGGCCAATGTGTTAATCGACGAAAACGAAGCATAATCCGCCGTGATCTCTGGGCATGTGATTCCGCTGACAATATTGGACCAAACCTTACAGGTGCGTAAATAAAGCGGGGCACCTGTTGAGATGTTAAAAGCGAAACGCTTCAGTGGTTACGTATAGATCGCTTCCGAAGGTGCTAAAATCGGCGAATCTTTTCGTCTTTACAACTGGGGAATTACACTTGAACTGCGATCTCGCAGTCCGCAAATTGATGTGAAAATTGATTGTTTTTTACGCATGGGGAAAAATTTCAACCGAAAACCTGGGGGAGTTATTCAACAGCGCAATACATAGGTATAATTATATATATATTGGCAAATCAGATTTAGAATTCGGTTAATAGTGCATTATTTCCTCTTTTCCACCAACACACCGAGAGATAACGAGTTTTTTATGGCCCAAGAGAAATGAGAGAGATTGTGATGAGAGAGAGAGGGAGAGAGCGGAAAAGTCAGTGGGGAGATAATGCTGCACATTGATTAGACCAGTAAATTTGGTAAATATAATCCACGCTGTCTGGCACAAACAATCCAAAAATACACCTCTTTGGAGATAACACTAACATCAATTCGGTAATAACTTCCACATGGTAAAGCTAAGCAGGATTTGAATGAAAAGATTCAATAAAAGGCAGTTGGAATATCCTAAATATTCAATTTTTATAATGGAAAAACAATAACATGGAGACGATTTACACAAATCATTAAAACAACAAAATTAATTAAAGCCAAGTGTAACAAGGGGACATAATTGATACATGTCATGTGCAACATAGATTCATAAATATTCCCACCAAGACTAGTTAAAATTCAGTAGCCATAGCTAATACTTAGGAAAAGGCCGTCTCCTAATGAACACACAAGACAGAATGCAAATCATCAGCTAAGGACTCCCATGAAAATGTATATTAGCCCAGAAAACTCGATTGAAAAATAAAAAATAATGTTTGTTGTTTCTAGCAATGACACATAATCGATATGCCATATGCACGTACATACGTATGTACATATATCTGTATATAGTATATCCACGGATATCCCAACGCGGCTTTGTTTTTGCCCCTTCGACTTATTGGAATTTCGGTTTTTCGGTCGCCTTCCTTTGCTAGATTTAAATTTACTTGGCCCCGAAAAGTGTGCTATGTTTTGCCAGGAAACGCGTATGTGTGCCGACACGCGTGTGTGTGTGCAGTCGTGTGTGTGAGTGCCTCAGCGCTAATTTGAATAATGACAGCGACATCAACGCGCCATTTTGCACTGTCGCCGCGCCATTTTGCGTTTCCGCTGCGGCACCGGGAATTCAACATGAAATAAGCTGCTACACAGAAAAAATGGTAGAACGAAAAAATCAAGAATATTTTTCTTGATTTTTTCGATGTGGTGGATTAAAATTTTTAAGTACGATTCGGGGTTAGACAGTCGAGTTAATCCCGTTTCGGGATTAAATGACAAATTAAGCCTAAAAATTCTTGAATCGATCCCGTTTCGGGATTAAATGACAAATTAAGCCTAAAAATTCTTGAATCAATCCCGTTTCGGGATTAAAATGACAAAATGAGCGTAAAAATTCTTGAATTAATCTCATTTTGGGATTATAGAGGCATAATAAGCCCAAACATTCTTGAATTAAGCCTAAATATTCTTAAAAATTTGGTGAGAGCAGCAAATCTATTTTTAGCTCAGAGAGAGAGATAACATTTTTGCTCTTTCCTTGAAACTGTATGTATTCGGGTTCCCGACATTAGCTTTTGATTTGACTCAGTGGCCCAGTTGGTAAGCGGACGGTCTGTGATTTCTGAGACATGGGTTCGAATCCCGACCGGGAACTAGGAAAAGTAAGTTTAAGTGGCTTTTAATAAGATTTATACATTAATATAATTAATTTAATAACCATTTGTAGCTTTATAATTACAGATTTAAATAAAAACTTCTCTTTCACTTCTCACTAAGAACTTTAGAGGGATTAAATCAAGGCTTTTTGGGATTAAAATAATTAAGAATTTCGGGGACTAAATCGAGAAAGAAAATTTTTTGTTTTTTTAATTAAATTTAAATTTAAATTTTTAAATTAAAATTTAAGAATGTTTGAGGTTAAATTAAGAAAAATTGGGATTGAAATTTTTAAGGTTAGCGGGATTGAATCAAGAATTTTCGAGATTGAAAAAATTAAGTATGTTCGTTCTTATATTAAGAAAATCCGACCTTAGCTCGAAATCATGCCCACTTGGGATTGATTTTGGCGACTTTATCCCGGATTTTTTTTTCTGTGTACAAAGCATTAGTAACATATAACACACATTTCCGGTGTGAGATATCATCAGAATCGAAGAGAAAAACAACAAGCGAATAAGCACGAAATTATTCAGCAGCCTAGAGACTCAATAAATCAATTTGGAAGCTCTCAAACTCGAATTATTATTACTCAAATCAAAGAATTATTTAAATGCCACAAATCGTTCATTCTCATTAAAGCAATTTTTCATTACAATGTTCAATCTGCTGGAGTTGTCAAATTTCTTTGATGCTGTGAAAGGGTGAAATAAGAATAAAGGTTCCCGTTTTAATTTACATTTTCCTAGCGAAAACAAGCAATTAATTATTAGGCAACTCCATCGTTCCTTTTCCATTTTCTCCTATATAAAGTTCCATTAGAAAATGCCAAAAATCGTTTAATTTAATTACGCAATTTCCAACATCGATTTTTGCTTTAATGACACCGCAAGAAGCAATAATACAATAAACTGGAATTTATTCAGAAATTCGTTGAAAGCTTGTGGTTTGAGCCAAGACCTTTGAAATCTATTTTCACAAGGAAATTCTCAACGCCAACAAAATGGCCTCCTGCAGAGCAACAAATTCATTAACAACTTTTGAATTAGTTCTTACAAATAAATTCATTATTTTCGCCATTTTCAATTTGATTTTAAAAAATCTGCAGACACATAACAGTATTTAAGTGTTTCCTAAGCTAAGCTAAGGTTTTCCCATTTTCCTTAATTTAATTTACTTGCCACACCGCCTCAATGAATATTTGCCTTCATTAGCCGACATTCGAACTTCAAAGTGAAGATTGAAAGAAATGGCTTGAAATTTAAAACAGGCTTCTACACTGAGGAAAATAAGAGAATACAGATTAAATAAATTATAGATTAAATATATTTACAAAGTCCCTTCGTGTATACAATATATATTATAATGCAAATTCCTGCGTACTTATCTTGTACTAAGCTTAGAAAAGATAGCATTGATAATAAAACAAGAAAGGAAGCTAACTTCGGCACGCCGAAGTTTGTATACCCTTGCAGATTGGTTTTCATATTTATATTATAAATTATAATGCCGAAAACAGACACTAAACGGAGTTTCATAACATTTTACCTTTACTTATTATGTTTACAGTTTGACAGTTACAGTTTACATTCCTAGCTTTTCATTTTCTCTACATCTACGGATCACTTCTATGGCAGCTATATGATATAGTTCTCCGATTTTCATAATATCGTTACCAAAATTCTGAAATAATACTAAATGCTCATGTCTCAAAGTAGATGAAAATACGTTGAAAAACAACGAAGTTATAATTTTTCTATCGTTTTCCCTATCGTTCCTATGGCAGCTATAAGATATAGTAGTCCGATTTTCATTAAATTTATACCAAAATTTTGAAATAATACCAGAAGCTCATGTTTCAAATTAGATGAAAATACGTTGAAAAACAACGAAGTTATAATTTTTTCTTTTACTTTCCCTATCGTTCCTATGGCAGCTATAAGATATAGTAGTCCGATTTTTATAAAATTTTTACCAAAATTCAGAAATAATATATAATGGCCAAATCTAAAAAATTGTGCAAAAATGTTGAAAATGAGCCAAGTTATAATTTTTTTTCTAAAAATTAATCGAACATTTGTATGGCAGCTATATGATATAGTCGTCAGATCCGGCCCGTTCCGACATATATAGCAGTGAGAGTATATAGAAGACTATATGTAAAGTTTCATTCAGATAGCTTTAAAACTGAGGGACTAGTTTGCGTAGAAACGGACAGACGGACAGACGGACAGACGGACAGACGGACAGACGGACATGGCTAGATCGACTCGGCTGTTGATGCTGATCAAGAATATATATACTTTAGAGGGTCGGAAACGTCTCTTTCACTGCGTTGCAAACTTCTGACTGAAATTATAATACCCTGCAAGGGTATAAATATGCAATATACATTTGAGATGAGTAAATAAACCCCCTAAAAGGGTGACTAATTATTGGCCTTACAATTCGTCTATGTACAGGACCGCGGAGGAGGAGCAGCTGGCCAACATGGATGACGACAAGCTGGTCTCAGACGAGGTGCACATGCGGCAGCTGAGCGCGACGCCCTCCTCGGCGTTCTCCCTGCAGCAGCGCCGGCAGAGCAACAGTGTAACCCAGTCCGCACCCCCGGAACTCACGCAGCGCGTCGGGGCATCGGGCGACACGAAAGAGGAGGCGCCACTTGGATGTGGAACTGGGATAGTTGGAGGTCCTGGAGCTGGTGCAAAGGCGGAGGTGGAGGCGGGGGCCGATGACCGGGTGGTGTTGCGGCGGGCGGCAGACAAGGGCGCCATCGCCTTGGCACAAATCGACGACCTAAAGCTGGAGGGGGATGATGACGAGGACGGGGATGATGATGGGGAGAATGGGGGCCTGGGCCTAAGTAATCCCGCAGCGCAGACCACCGATGATGAGCAGATTACGGTCGCGGGGGCAGCATCCACATCTTCGGGAGCAGGAGCGGGAGCAGGAGCAGTGGCAACAGCTGGCTCATCCTCCGAGGTAAGTTAATATGTGCCCACGCACTTAGGACTAATTAAAGCCTGGCTAAAACCAACACAGCAGGATGCAGCAGGAGCCGCTCCCACAATGATAGCCACTCCGGACATGTCCAAAATACCACGACTTCCCGGCGACGGCGCCCAAATGGAGGACACTGGAGGCGGAGGCGACCTGCCGCCATCGCTGCGTGCCTCCACCACATCAATTCTGTCCAATTTGCGCAAGAAGCAGCAGGCCATGATGGCATCCGGAGGAGGAGGCGGCGGTGGTCTGCGAGGCGGCATCACCAAGCAGACGCCGCTGCGGGTGCAGTCCGTCCGAATTGTGGAGGCAAAGCGAGCCTATGGACCCAAGCGCCGGACAGAGAGCTGCAGCATCTTTGGCAACAGCAATTTCGGTAAGCGGGAGGTTTTGTGTGGGATTTGGTGTGGCTTTCGGCGGGAATCCCGGAAATGGAGGGGGAAGTACTCTCCCAGTTGGTGGCCACTCAAGGGAGCTCTGGCCCCGGAAGCCGTTTATGGCTTTTATCGTTTGGGCGGAGATAAGCCCGCGTTGAACTTGTCATTCCCTTGGCTCTCACTTCTCCTCCTGGGGACTTCCACAAAGCCGCCTGGCTTTGACACTTGAACTTTTATCAAAAGACAAGATTGTCTTTATAAGTACTATAAATCTATCAGAAATATAATTATATCTGTTTTTAAATTTAATAATTTTCTTCCTCCTACAGAGCAAGACCTGGAGTCGGGCAACTCCCTGGCCAGCATCGCTGGTCAGCCGCAGAGGCCTCTCAACAACGAGACTTATTCAGCCTTCAAGAGCGGCAACGTGGTCAAGGGCATCCTGTGTCCCTCCCTGACCAACTCCTTCAAGCAGAGTTCCCTGGAGCGCAGCTACCTGACCTACACGCACCGACAGCGCCAGAAGTCCTTGATCATCGTCAATGTCGTGGACTTTGTGCTGAAGATTGTCCTGGCTTTCGTCTGGATAATGCGACGCAATAAGCGGGGACCTCTGGATTCGGAGGATACAACGGTAAGGGAATGCTCCTCCTCCACTTCCTCCTAAGGGAACATGTTACTCCAACTGTTTCTGCAAATGAATTTGCAGAGCATGGCGACGGCCATCACGTGGTCCGTTTGCTGCGGGATTGCAAACATGGCCATCTGCTTCCTGGGCTACTGGCGGTGCTTCGCCAACAACTATTTGCACTGGGCCGCGGTCTGCACATGGGTGCTGTTCAACATCCAGGGTGAGTGCGGTCATAAATCAAGCGTCACCTGCGCGGAGCATCAAAATGGCTAATCCTTTTTCGGCCCAGTCGTAAATCGAAGCCTAACCTCCTCTCTCCCCCTCTCTCTCTCCTGCGCGGCACAGGATTCGTTGGCAAGGGCGTTGGCTTCGCCGATCGCGAGTACCTGGTGTGGTACATCCTGTTCGTCATCTTCGTTCCGTATGCAATGCTGCCCTTGCCCCTCAAATGGTGCGTCGTGGGCGGGACCATCACGGCCAGCTGTCACCTGGCCGTAATTACCATCATCAAGCTGCAGCACGGAGAGGTATTATTAGTGTTGTCGTGTAGGTAATCCCGTTTTGACTTCCAGGGATTTGTCATCCGCAGGCCACCGTGAATGCCGACTGTGTGCTGTTCCAGATCTTTGCCAACTTCATTCTCTACACGGCCATCAACGTGGCCGGTATGTACACGAAGTATCTCACGGATCGCGGACAGAGATTGGCCTTCATCGAAACCCACAAGGCCATGGAGCACAAGAAGGAGTCGGAGAAGGAGCTGCAGCGCACGCAGAAGCTGCTAGATTCAAGTAAGTGAAGCTGTTTGTGTTTACAAATAATAAAGTGAGTCCCAAAGGCATCATTTGTCCTATTTTCGGCCACCAATCTACTACGGAATATGATTAAAGCCTGTTTCTCTGAAAACCTGTTGTTGATTGTGACAGAACTCCACTCAAGACTTTATTAGTGTGTGCTTAACTAGTAGAAACTACAAATGCGAAAATTCCTGCTTTTAATAAGTTTTTAGACTTGGCCTCCTAAGTGGCATTTTTCATCATAAATGCCAGGTAGAAGGAACCACCTCCGCCTTATCCAGGCATAACCGTAGAAGGGCAACGACAGGACCTTAAGAGAGCCTTCTCGGTAATTTCGCGTTGCCTGACAACTGCAGGTCCTGGAAGGTTCGCTCCTTTGGCCTTCTTGAGCGAATTTATTGCGCCTGGCTCGTGTTCAAGTTGTTGTTGCTGTTGCTAAACCCCACTCCGCGGAATTCCGCTCCTTTTCGTCCTGCAGTCCTTCCGAACATCGTGAACAATCAAATACGCAGCGAAATGTACAAGGGCACGGATCCCACGGTGGAGACGCAGTTCAACAAATTGTACGTTTATCCCATGGATAACGTGAGCATCCTGTTCGCCGACATCAAGGTAAGCGGAGCAACCGGAGCATGCAGCTCCTCCAAAAGTTTATGGTGTGAACTGGAACACCTTTTGCCTCTTTTAGGGTTTCACCGAGTTGGCCAGCAAGACTTCGGCCCAGCAGCTGGTGAAAATCCTGAACGACCTGTTCGCCCGCTTCGATCGCATTGCGGAGGTAAGTTGAGGGGCTTTCGTGGGTTAAATAAAGAACATACTTGCACTTAAGAAATATTTTTCATGCTCCTGCTGCATAGCTAACAATAATAAAAATTCTTTATTGAACACTTTCTCAACCCATTTCCCGCTTCCCTCCCCCCAAGGACAACCACTGTCTGCGCGTGAAGCTGCTGGGCGACTGCTACTATTGCGTGTCGCAGTTCGAGAGCGACAACTGGAAGACCCGGCCGGATCATGCCGTCTGCAGCGTGGAAACTGGCCTCCACATGATAAAGGCCATTAAGGATGTGCGCCTGCACACGCACGTAAGTGAAATCGAATCGAATCAAAAACACACGTACCATGAAGTGTGGCCCTCGAACGTTTATTTAAATTTTTATGCTGTCCTGACTGCCCCTTAAAGCTGAATAATTTAATGCCTCTATGATATTTTCTTTAAATTTATACACGGATCAATGAAAGTAAACTCAAAATGTAGGAAAAAACAGAACTAAAGGCATTAGATAAATATATTCTAAATGTGAAATATAAATAAGTAAGACCACAAAATGTAAAAATATATTTTATTTTAAAAATTCAAAAATATCCTTAATACCTATAAAATTGTGAATGGGGAAACATGAGCAAATAGCCGTGTTCAATGAGCTGCATTTAAACATTTAAAATGTTGCAATTTCAAGCACCGCCACTAAATCCCACTGACATCTGTTGAGGCCTTTTCCCACTTTTCCGCAAGTGAAGGACGTTTGAAAAATTTAATACCAATTTTTCTGAATTCGGCTGCTTTGCATTCGTTTATTTAGAAGGAGGCTTTCGTTTTCGTTGAATTTTCATTGCACAATGCCATGTGCCCAGTGCTCCGTGCCATGGCTCTGGCCAGTGGAAGTCCCACAGATATACATACATATATGTATATACTGGTAGCTATAGGAGGCAGTGGACGTGTTGACAATTCATTTGTATGCAAATCTCAACAGAGCAAAAGGCAAAGGCAACAGTCGCCGAAAAGCAGCGGCCAGAGTTAAATTTTTATACGACAAAGTGCCGCTGGAATTTAATTGATTTTTTATTCAGGGAGCAGGGCAAGGCAGAAGCAGAAGCTTGCCGCAGAAACCGGGGGAATCCCATATTCGTTTACCGAGATTTATGCGGCCTGCAGTCGCATAATTGGGCCGGCGACTTAATTGCTGCGGCATTTCGACTATTGACTGACTCCCAACTGACTGACAGCGGACATTTTCCGGTAGCAGGATCAGTGCTTGTACTTTTCCCAGGTGAGGTGAAAGGAATATGCCAAGAACTGTGCATATGAAAGGGCAAGGTAACGGTGGTTCTTAAGTAGCTAAAGAATTATTTGCATTTTAATACTCTTATCTGAAGTAAATATTTAAAATATAAAGTAATAGAAATATTCCTAGAATTCTTTTAGGGATTTAGTAGGCTTTCGTATGTTTATTATCACTGGGCTTGCCGCGCTTTGTCACGATTTCTCATTACCATTGCAGGTGGACCTCAACATGCGCATCGGCATCCACAGCGGATCGGTAATGTGCGGTGTCCTGGGCAACAAGAAGTGGCATTTCGATGTTTGGTCCAACGATGTTATCATTGCAAATCACATGGAATCCGGCGGCATTCCCGGGTAAGTAAAACAGTCACGTCCGAAAACCAGCCACTGTGTGTGCTTTTGCATCCGGAATGAGTTGTCAAATCTATATAAGACCGGAAAGGAAGCGGGGAAGTGAAAGTGGCCTAAATGCCAACAGGATTATTTCCCTAATAAACCGGCGCATTAGTCATTAGAAGGGGAAATCCGTATGCACATGAATGAGGCTGATTATGATTATGCAAAAGATGTAAAGGTCAAAGAGCGTCATAATTGAATTTTCTACCCAACAACCGCAAAATGTACTTAATTAATTTAACAGAATATTAGTTAATATACTCGAAATATACATATATATATGTATGTATACATATACATATGTGCAGAAAATAAGGAGACATTTATTGTTAGTTCGTTTAGAAAACTATAAAAACATTTGAAAAAATGTATACAAATTCATGAAATTCCTTATCTTTGGTAATGTTTTTAAAAATATTTTGTTAAATTACTTAAAATACCATTAGAGGATTAGTGTTTTTCTTAGTGTAAGCTTAGCCACACCTCATTCTATCTTGAATTAAAATGTAAAACTATCCGTAAGCTGGATAACTTTGACTTCGGTGGCAAATCCCAGGCAGGCCACAGTTTTAATTGGCCAATTTGCGGGTCCTGTGGCTGCAGATCCCGCTACTGCTTCTGCTCCTGCTCCTGATCCAGTGCCAAGGTCCTTGTGCCTAACTCCCGACCAGTGCGCACAACAATTGCTTGGCAATTTTGCTAGCTTGGCGTGTTTAGACACAAGAAACCAAATAATAGAAAGAAACAGCAAGGCAAGGAAATGGAGAAAATCCGAGCGACCGCAGAACCCGAAACAAAATGAAAAGCCCCAGAAATGAAAAGCTCAATTTAATGCAAAATGCTTTGATGTAATTGTGGCCTGGGCGGCAGCACGAGCACAAGCAGAAACATTTTGGAACACCAAGGAGCAGTTGCCCAGTAGAGACCCAATTATGAAGGACCCAACGCCCATTCGGAGCACGCCCACAAAAACACAAAGAGATGGGCGGGCAAAATGGGGAAATCATTGGGAAACGGAAAACTGTGGATGTTGCTGCGATGGTTTTAGGAAAATCACCACGCACATTCATAGAAAACGTATGCAAATATTTGAATTTAATTTTCGCCAACTACATTTCCAAACTCCTGGCCCGGGCCTGGCCAATGTCTATGGCCAATAGTCCTCACCTCGCTAATACTCCTCTCCGCTCTCCAATCCACAGGAGAGTCCACATTTCGGAGGCGACGCTCAAGTGCCTCAATGACGCTTACGAGGTGGAGCCGGGAAATGGCGGCAGTCGAGACAATCACCTCAAAATGCTAAACGTCAAGACCTTTCTCATCAAGCGTACAGAGCCATTGAGGTAAGTGGAAAGTACACAGGGAGAAACATTGAATTTAGGCCATCAATTTTGGATTTTTAATTTGAATTTAGCAAAGTTTTTATTGGCCAGAAAAAGCGGTAATTGTGGATTTTAGTTGATTAGCCCTCCTTGTATTCTATCATGATTTCTTACCAGTAAGCCTTTTCCGTTTCATTTAATTTAAACAAATTTCTCTCAGTGCTGACAACTGGCAAGTCGACAATTGTTAACCCAATAATTGCTTTAACCCAACCACAGGCCCAAGCGTCGCTTTGGCACGCGCAGCAGCGCCCACCTGGCCGGTAGTGTGGCCACCGCACCCGTCTCCTCCGCGGCCACACCAACCGCCGCCCTGCCCAAGTCAATATCCGCCAGTGGCAGCGGCAGCATAGGCGGCGTCACCACAACGGGCGGCGATGGAGCCAGCATAGACGGACGCAGCTTGGAGTATGCGGCCACCATTGCTGTGCCCGCCCAGCAGCCGGCGCAGCTCCTGCAGCAGCAGCAAAAGAAGAACATATCGCTCAACTCGCTGCCCAATGTCGTCGAGGGCGTGGCCATGGACAGTCGCCGCCTGAGGAACGGTTGCGGCGGGATCGGAGGAGCCGGTGCCGCCGGTGGCACTGGAACAGGCCCGGCTGGACTGTCCACAGTGTCCTCACCTACGGCCATGATGTCGGCCCCGCTGGAGCAACAGCTGCGACCCAGAAACGGAGCTTCCAGCATCCAAAACCTGTCGGAGGCCATCGACAGCAAGGGCCTGATCATTGAGGACGAGTCCACCACGGACTGGATACCAGAGATTCCATTCAAGAATGTAGGCCAAATTAATTATTGGATTTTAAGATATAGGTTCTAGCTTAGCATTAAGACATGTATACAGCAGGAAACAGACTTGACGCTCAGTCCTTGAATATTTCAGTTGAACAGCCCCGAGGAAGGACTCAACCGTGCCGACTCCATTCTCGTGGATACCAAGGAGGATCATCGGGTGTCAGTGGCCGTTCTGGATGAGGAGGTAAACGTAATGTTCCCCACCGCATGCAGCCTGCCTGCGATCTAACCAATTCCATTCCCACCATTCAGATCGACGAGTTCATCGAGCAGAACATCCAAATCAACTCGAACAAGGAAATCCGGCGCGAGTACCTCAATCCCTGGACGCTGAAGTTCAAGGACAAGAGCCAGGAGCAGAAGTTCTGCCAGTTGCGCGAGGATATGTTCCGGTGCGTATGCCAGCGTAGGCTAATGGAAAGCAAACAAAAGGCGGGACTCTTTTAATTAATGAACTGTCACTAATTGATTTTTGCCTCCTGCCTCGGCTTCTGTCCTCCGTTTGCTCCGCCTTCTCCTCCCAGATCCAACATGCTGTGTGTGTTTGTCATTTGGATATTTATGGTGCTGTGCCAGGTCATCATCATTCCGCGCTGCACGCGTCTCATTATTTGCCTCTCGGTGGGTACAGTGGTCCTCACCTTCTGCTGCGTCCTGGTCATGGCCGAGGAGTTCCCTGGTGAGTAATAGTGTCTAAGGAGGATTCAAAAGTGCAATAATAATACAATAAACTTATTTACAATTTCGTAAGAAACTGTTTTTTATCAAAAGGCCCACATTCCATGAGTAATAATTATTTTTCCGGAAAGGTCTACCCCGCTGCTTGAAGACAAACTCGGCCAAGTTGGTGCATCAACGGCAGCGTCGCACCCTCTTCATCTGCGGGGTCATCGTGTCCATGTGCATGCTGAGCGCCATCGGCCTGGTCCTGTGTCCCTCCTCCACCTACATTGGCACCGTCGACGAGCACTCGCGCTTCCTCCGGATGACGTCGCTGTACAGCAACGCCTCCCTGGCGGAGAAGGAGTACAAGCTGAATGTGTATCTCTCGGCCACCATCCATCATAATATCACAATTAGCACTCCGACCAGCGGAGGGGTGATGGGTAATGGCGGCCCTACCTCCCTGGTGGACATAACCGGTGCTCCTGCCGATGAGCTGGTAAGGAGCACTCTGGCTAATGCCCTAAGCCTGAACCTGACGCCGCCTTTGGAGCACTTCGAACAGTCCCATCGTCCCTACACACTCACCAATAACGGCCACAGCGTGTCCTTGAGCAACTTCACCTACGCAGACTCGTCCGGAATGCGAAACACCGTGGATCTCGAGGGGGAGTGCGCCCACCCGGAGTACCTGGTGTTCACCTGGGTGCTATGCCTGGTCTCTCTGGCCACTGCTTTAAAGCTTTACTACCTGGTGAAGGCCCTGATGGCACTGGGAATGGTGGGCTTCTACACGACACTGATCATGTTCAAGTTCAGCTCCGGCGAAAGCTTCAGTCTGGGCGATCTGTCCAGACTGGGCATGCCTTTGGGAGTTCAAATGCTAATACTGCTCATATCGTTCCTGGTCATGGTCTGCTACCATGCGAGACTGGTTGAGGTAGGTGACAAATGGGAAGGGGGCCTGCTCTCTGACCTCCAGGTTCATTACTCTGCTCGATTCCCCCAGGTGACCTCCCGTCTGGACTTCATATGGAAGGAACAGGCCGAGCGTGAACTGACCAACATGAAATCCAATCGGGCGCTTAATGACACATTAATTAAGGTAACAGATTCGCCCTGCTGCACTGTGAGAAATGTTTTTAAAATTAATCAATAACTATTAATTAAGATAAACCAAAATAGTGAATATGTTTCATTTTCAGGTTTCTAAGACCAAAATACATTTTGAAATATTTCGTTTTCAAATATGTTAACAATATGCAAAGTAATAACCATCCAAAATATTTCGCTGCGTTCATCTGCCGTTTTCCTGATAATTATTTGCCATTAATTACCCCGTCGATTGCAGAACATCCTGCCGGACCACGTGGCCGCCTATTACCTGTCCGACGAGCACACGGACGAGCTCTACTCCAAGATGCACAATCTGTGCGGCGTGATGTTCGCCTCCATTCCCAACTTCCAGGACTTTTACTCGGAGGACATCGACAACGGCAAGGCCTGCATCCGTATCCTGAACGAGATTATCTGTGAGTTAATCAATCACACGTTATACCATTGCCATTGCGATTCCATCTGTCTAATGGTGCTGCGCACACATCACATTGCCAGGCGACTTTGATGAATTGCTGGAGGAGCCGCGCTTCGCATCGGTGGAGAAAATCAAAACCGTGGGTGCCACCTACATGGCAGCCGCCGGATTAAACCACGAGCATCTGCGGCTTCGCGGCGAGACCTCCGAGGACAGTGTCTGCGACCTGGTCGAGTTCGCCTTCGCCATGAAGCAGAAGCTGGAGGAGATCAACGGGGATGCCTTCAACAACTTCCAGTTGCGCGTGGGCATCTGCAGTGGTCCCTTGGTCAGCGGTGTGATCGGCGCCAGGAAGCCCGTCTACGACATCTGGGGCAACACTGTCAATGTAGCCTCCAGAATGGATTCCACAGGGGAGAACTGGCGCGTCCAGGTGCCAGAAAATACGGCTGAGTTGCTCTGTTCCCGGGGATATACTTGTGTGGTGGGTATAAACGAATAAATCAATATGTCGTAATATAATCCTATAATCCTATATTTATTAAAGAAAATTTAACTAATTAATGTTTGACACTTTGCCTAAACCCCAAGAAACGTGGCGAAATCAATGTGAAGGGAAAGGGCATGATGACCACCTTCTATGTGCATCCCAAGGGCATTACGGAGAGCCAGCTGATCTCGCCGGTCAGATTGCCAGCGGGAATCCCCTTGGCCCAAACTCCGAACCTCCAGCGGCAGACCTCCCATCACGGATCCTTCAGTGCCGTGGTTTTCGGGATGCTGCAGGCCAGCAAGCGCAGCACGGCCATCGCCGGCACCCGTGAGTTTCCAACGAGAAATTATCGCTATCAGTGAACTAAACTAAATATTCTTATTTGCAGCCACGGGTACTCCATCTCCGCAAATCCGTCGTGGCCACAGGGGGAGCACCTTCAGCTCGGTCCGGCTCTCGCAGAAATCCACCACGGTAAATCCTGTTCGGCGGAATACAACCCGTGTACGTGGACGTTCATATCGTCAGAAAAAGGTATATAATATTTAATGTGTATTAAATTTTACCAATTTATTGGAATTCAGTTGCTTTAACAGTCACATTTCTTGATATATTTGTACTACGTTTAAAAAGGTTAAAAAAGGTCACGATCAAATTAAGTATAACATTAAAAAACAAGAAAGGAAGCTAACTTCGGTACGCCGAAAATTGTATACCTTTGCAGATATTATTTCATTACATTTTACCTATATTATTATGTTTACAGTTTGACAGTTACAGTTTTGCATTCCCAGCTTTACATTTTCTCTACATCTATCGATCGCTTCTATGGCAGCTATATGACATAGTTGTCCGATTTTTATGAAATTTATACCAAAATTCTATAATAATAAAAAAAGCTTATATTCCAAAGTAGATAAAAATACGTTGAAAAACAACGAAGCAATAATTTTTTTCCTAATAATTTCCCGATCGTTCCTATGGCAGCTATATCATATAGTCGTCCGATTTTCATAAAATTTTTACCAAAATTAAGAAATAATATAAAATGACTATATCTAAAAAATGGTGCAAAAATGTTGAAAAACAGCAAAGTTATAATTTTTTTTTCTAAAAATTTATTGAACATTTGTATGGCAGCTATATGATATAGTCGTCCGATCCGGCCCGTTCCGACATATATAGCAGTGAGAGTATATAGAAGACTATATGCAAAGTTTCATTCAGATAGCTTTAAAACTGAGGGACTAGTTTGCGTAGAAACGGACAGACGGACGGACAGACGGACAGACGGACAGACGGACATGGCTAGATCGACTCGGCTGTTGATGCTGATCAAGAATATATATACTTTATAGGGTCGGAAACGTCTCCTTCACTGCGTTGCAAACTTCTGACTGAAATTATAATACCCTGCAAGGGTATAACAAAGCCATATCTCCCTGAAGATCGCTTTATTTTTATAAAACCCCCATTTACTTTTTAAACACATTTAGAAAGTTCAAATGTTTTACTTTCAGAGTTCCTCCAACAATTCGATTGTCACCCAGGCCAGTTCCAGCTACATGCCGTCGTTTCGCCGGATCGATCAGATCGAGACGACCATATCGAAGAGCCACAACGATGCGTTATAGCCAACGACGCGCACTCACTGGGTCTAAGTCGATCTCAAGCGGATTAATGGTCTGATGAATTTATTTTTGGAACGATTTTATGCAACACGAAATGCTTAACAGCAACAATACAGCCATGCCTGCAGTTTCTTAGCTGTTATTGGGTTACCCCTAAGGTTAATTAGTGGAGATCGGCACTGAAGCTACTTAGTAGAGTTTTTAAAAACACAATCCTTGAACTTGTAGATCAAATAAATGTATTTCTCGCGTTATCTCAGCACAATTCTAGTCGTCAAACTTAAGGTGTGTGTGTTTTAAATGTGTTTAGAGTAAGAAATTTCGATCTTCCCACGCAAAAACCCAACCGAACGAAATGCCGATGAACCTACTAACGCTGTTCAATTCTACCAAAACATTTACAAATTCTAGCGTAATCCTCTAGCTTTAGTAGTCAATTTACAAATCCACTAATCAAATATTCGTTGTACAAATCTTTTTTCCTATCACAAAATGCATATGTGTAAATAGTCTAAGCACAACTTAAAGTGTAAAATATTTTACAAGAATTTATGTCGGACGTGTGTTGCCTAAATGCGAAATAAATGATTTAAAATTACTATAATTAGCCCTTAAGCCGGTTATAGCCTAGCAAATGTATGCACATGAATTGTAATTAAAGAGTTTAAAAAATAAATGTGATAAATTAAACAAATCAACGGAAGTTTATTTTGTTTTTTAATAATAAATACATCAAGTTTTCATCACTAATTAAGAACAAAAATCAAATTTTCGCGCTCAGGAATAGTGTGCCCACATACAATCGGATTAATGAGTTGTTATCGATACACAGCGAACGTCAAATATCAGTGTTGCCAGACTAAAATATAAAATATACCAAAATACCCGTCAAATACCAGTGTTACCAGACTAAAATATAAAATATTTCGCTCCAAACACATGTGCTGCGGAAAAGTGTGAATATTAATTCGGCCGATTTTGACGCTTCGCTCGCAAAATTCCGTGTATACCAGAGTGGCCGCGAGTGCCAACAGCTAGCCGCAGACAACAGAATCACTACAGATGACGAGCGGACCAGGAACGACGACGGTAGAGGTGCAGCTGCCCCTCAAGGTCGCCCTGCGGCGGGTCGAGCGCGTTGGCTTCGCATATTTTTCGCAGCGGCGCCAACATCTCGCGCCCGGCGGCGTGGAGCGGAGCGATAGCGACGAGAAGCTAGAAGGCGTCGGCGAAGAGGTGGAAATTAGCTACCTCAAGTCGCTGGATCCCAAGGAGTGGAAGGACCAGGACCATTACAGCATTCTCGGTCTCGGAAAAATCAGGTGCGCACGTGTGACTAACTGTATTCTATGGGCACAATTAACGCCATAACTATTCGTGTCTCGCCGTTAGGTTCGAGGCCACCGAAGATGATATTCGACGGGCATACCGACGCATGGTCCTGCTGCATCATCCTGACAAGCGAAAAGCCAAGGGCGAGGAGGTTATCCAGGACGATGACTACTTCACATGCATAACCAAAGCCTACGAGATACTTGGTGGGTTCTTTATTCCGTTCTTGAACCTAGATAATAGCCTTAAATGCTTTTTTGAAGTTGTATAGCCAATGAAAAGAGACTAAAATTCCTTTTAGAGTTTATATTTTCAGCTTAATTTTATTCTTAATATTATATAATGTTATATGCAGAAATCTATTTAATTTATAATTCGAGTAGAATCTAAAGAAATACAAATCACAATCACGCTGCGTCCAAGCTCCACAATGGAACATAGAATGTCTTAGTATAAAATTAATATTTAGAGTTCATATATTTTTCTGATCATCACAGGAGAGATGTTTTTCTTAACGGCTTGTATTAGGTTTACTATTAACTTTCATATATTAACAAAACCTTAAGTAGATTCAACTGTTTTTGTAAATTTTATATATTTGGCTCAAAGTGTGTAAAATGTTTTACATATTTCATAACTTAAAAACGTTAAATCAACTTGCTTTTTAACAAAATTATTTATATTTTATATTTGTAAAACGTTTTCTGCAAACCCAAAACCCTCCTAATAACCAAACCCACTCATAATTTCCAGGCACTTCCAAGTCGCGTCGCAGCTTTGACTCCGTAGATCCCGAGTTTGACGACTCGCTGCCCTCACAAACCGACATCGATGCAGATTATTTTGGCGTATTCAACAAATTCTTCACACTGAACGGACGCTGGAGCGAGGCAAAGGCGCCAGTGCCCGCCTTCGGCGAGGTGGACGCCAAGCGCGAGGAGGTGGAGCGATTCTACAACTTCTGGTACGACTTCAAGTCCTGGCGCGAGTTCAGCTATTTGGACGAGGAGGACAAGGAGAAGGGTCAGGACAGAGACGAGCGACGCTGGATTGAGAAGGAGAACAAGGCGGCGCGGATCAAGCGCAAGAAGGAGGAGATGACCCGCATCCGGTCGCTGGTCGATTTGGCCTATAACAACGACAAGCGCATCGCACGTTTCAAGCAGGAGGAGAAGGATCGCAAGGCTGCGGCCAAGCGGGCCAAGATGGACGCCGCCCAGGCCCAAAAGGCAGAGCAGGATCGCGCGATTCGGGAAGCTGCGCTGGCCAAGGAGCGCGCCGAGAAGGCGGAACAGAAGCGCATCGAGCTGATCCGCATTGAACGCGAGCAGCAGAAGAAGCTGCTCAAGAAGGAGCGCAAAACGCTGCGCGACAAGGTCAAGGACTGCAAGTACTATGCCAAGAACGACAAGGATCAGCTGAAGCACATGGAGGGCACCGAGAAGATCTGCGAGACCTTCAGCCTGGCCGAGCTGCAGGCATTGAACAAAGCCATGGAGTCGAAGGGCCGCGAGTCCTTTGTGGCCGCCCTGCAAACAGCCGAGCAGAAGATAGCCGCCGAGCTGGAGGAGATTAACCAGACCCAGGCTAAGAAGCTGGCCACGGCCAGTGCGCCCAAGGGGGGCGTCAAGGAGGTGAAGAAGGGCGAACTCTGGAGTAATGAAAACGTTCAGCTGCTCATCAAGGCAGTCAATCTGTTCCCCGCGGGTACCGCCCAGCGCTGGGACGTTATAGCCACGTTCATCAACCAGCACAGTCCCGCCGGCAACGGCGGAAGCAGTGTCCTGGTCAACGCGAGGGACGTGCTGAACAAGGCCAAGGCACTCCAGAACAGCGACCACTCGAAGAGCAGCCTGAAGACCCAAGCCAACGATGCAGCATTCGCCAGCTTCGAAAAGTCCAAAAAGGAAGTGCAGACCTCGAACGACATAACCCTGGGCGAGGAAACTCCTGCCCAGGCCAGCAAGGAAAACCTCAAGCAGAACGGAGTAGATCATAAGGTGAACAACAATCAGCAGGTTAAGCAGAATGGAACAGATCCGTCGGCGGCAGCAGCTACGCCAGCAGGAGCAGCGCCGCCCACTACTAATGGAACAGCTGGCGGCGGCAGTGGCGGTGGCTCCAAAACGTGGACCAAGGAGGAGCAAGCCCTACTGGAGCAGGCCATCAAAACCTATCCGACGACAACGCCCGATCGCTGGGATCGCATTGCTTCGTGCATACCGAATCGCAGTAAAAAGGATTGTTTGCGGCGCGTCAAGGAGCTAGTCGAGCTGGTCAACTCCAAGAAGGAGGCGCAGGCGGCGGTCAAATGAGTGGGGCCCCCGCGGCCCTTACCCCGTTCCAGTCCCCCGCTGCCATTCGTCCTCCTCCATCATCCACTACTAGCTGCTGTGTCCCATATAAATTTTATTTAAATAAAACATAAAAAGTTTTTGAACGTTTAGCGAAAAGTTACATCCAAAGTTTCTCCATTTCTGACTAGCTATCAAGATATAAATACATATAATCCGTAAGGAAGGAGGAGCTGGGGGGTATTCCAGCTTATGTCTGCTCGGCCACGCTGCGTCCGCCGCTCATTTTCAGATCGAAGGCTTGGGGATTGGCAAGGGGATCTAGGTCAGCAAACAGGTCCAGCCAGGGGTTGTTGGCGGCCTGAGCTTTGCTAGGTATAGCAGCAGAGGCTGCTCCTCCTCCTCCTGCACTGGGCATGGCCGTGCTGCTGGGCAACGGCAGCGGTTGACTCTGCTGGTTGAACATGCGGGCCCAGAACTTGTTGTTGCTGGTGCTCGTGTTTTGGGCTGGCTCGTTCTCCTCCAGTGAGGCATCGAGCAGCGGACTGTCCTCCAGCTGAAGCTTGGAGAGCTCAATCAGCAAGGATTCATTGTCGCCGCAGGCAGTGGCAGGTTCGCTTGGTTTCTCCTCACGGGAATCCTTCGAATTTAACTGGGTCTCCTCCTTGGGCTGCCTGTCCTGGTACTCGTTCTGAAAATTGTACATTTATATCATGTTACGAAAGGGAAAACGAAGATTCCACTTACAGCAAAGAACAAGGATTGATCCTTGTCCACAGCCTCGATGGGCGGCGGCACTTCCTCGCTGGCTGCACCTCCTTCATTCTGGGAGAGCTCCTTCAGCACACAAAAGTCGTATTTCGGTTTCAAAATCAGTGCCTTGGATATGGTCTGGAATGTGGAGGCGGCCTTTTGGGCAAAGCTCTTCAGCTCAGCCACGTAGGCCACCAAAGCGTGGGAATACATGTTGCAGCGAGCGGCGGCCAGAAGATCAATCTGCCGGAACGTGGAAATCAAGGTTAGTTAAGTAACATGCAGGACAGGATAAATATATAATCCACCTTTTGAATGGAATCTAGGGAGTAGCCATCGAAGTTATGCTTGGCCACACGGACATGAGTCTGTGCCGTGCGAAACTTGTCCAGGCCCTTGCCCGTGTCCGGATCCAGCTCCTGGCTAGCGGACTTCATCCAGGAAAGGGCCGCCCGGTATTCGGTGCGTTCCTTTTCCATCAACTGCAGCGTCTGCTCCGTGTCCTTGACAGCGCGACAGCGGAACACGTCCACCTCGTGCTGCAAACGCAGGAGCGGCACACGGACGCACATCCTCTGTTGGCCGGCGAAGGACACCGCTTTGGCCGTGTGCGCAATGCTGCCGCCCGTCGTCCTGCTACGTTTTCCCGCCTCCTTGAGGAAGCGTCCGAAGACGCACTCCTCCTGCGACAGGATGCACAGGCGCTCCTGGTACTGGTCGATGATTTTGCACAGATTCAGGCTGGTGTCCGATATCGATTTGAACACCTCGATCTTGGCGTCCAGCTCGGCGTCCGAGGAGATCACATGCTTGTCCTCCTTCGTCCCCAGCTTGCGCTGCACGACCTTCTTGGTGATCCAGAACTGGTGCTGCACCTCCGACTTGAGCATATTTCCTGCCTTCTTCGTACCAGTTTTCAGCTGCTGCTTATTTTTCGCCACTTGCTGGCGCGGATTGGGGGTGGGCTTGGATGGGGGTGGTTCCGTTCCGTTCCGTTCTGTATCGTTATTTTTCTCGCCTGCCTATCGACTTTCGATAGCGTTTTGGAGTTTTCCAGCACTGCTCAATGGGGTTTGGTATATTTTTCGGTTTGAATTCAAAAGGGGGGTTTTTTTTTTGTACAAAGTCACTGTTGGGAAAAACTGTTGTGGTTACTCGTCATTTTTAATTAATTAAATTTAAATATTTAATATTAATTGGGTAAACTGCCAGTCAAAGTAAAAGCAATACTTTATTCAAAATGTTTGATAATCTGTTGTTATTTGTTTCGGTAATACAAGAATGAAGAAAGAATGTTTCGATGTGGATATGTAGCGACTTATGTTATACAAAAATCCTTATCAAATACCAATCGGGCCATTATTTTAACCCAAAAACTTCCTTGAGTCCGGAGTTTTGTAGATGTGGAATGCAAAGTGGTATAGCCTGAAAGTAATATGAAAATTAAAAACGAAAGGTGACATTTTAGTTAACTTACCTTAAGCCATTGGTATCCATCCTGAGTTTGTAAAATTAAATAAAAGTCTAAATTCATAAGAAAACGAAGGATCGACCTCCGAGTCTTTTTCCTTTGCTGCTATAGTTATAAACGTTACCCTATGCCAAATCTCATTGATGACGCAGAGCTTGTACATTTTTCCACTGCTGCAAGTGATTTTTGAAATTCCGTCGATCACTCTATTTAAATCCCTGATAAAAATCTGGGTCAGCTTTTCTCCGTCTAGATATCCGTTGTCAACTATTGGATAGTTTACAGATGTCTTGAGCTTGAGCTTAAACCGCTGCAACTCGTCACTACTGAATATAAGTATACGTTCGGGCTCTACTCTAAGTGGCATCTTAAGCCGAAGGAAGGGAAGATTCAATTTTGGCACTTCGGTTTTGTAGAACTGAACTGCAAAAAAAGAATTAAAATTGCCAGAATAGAATTATGAATACACATTGTAAGTACATATGTATGTTTGTATGTACATATATATTTATGGTCATACTTATGAATAATAGAAAAATAGGAATTCAGAAGTTTATCGATTTTCTCTCAATGATACGTCCCCTTTTATACATAGAAATGTATACATACATACATACATATGGATGTATGAACATTATATTCCAACTAAATGCTTACCTGTCTCATCCCAGTTGCTCACTGTCCCCTTGTAAATAGAATTAATCTTGATTAGTTCTTGATCCATTTTAGCGGATATTTCGGCTGCATCCTGGGAATAAGTCTCGTATTTGAGTTTTGGGGTTTCTAATAGTTTTTCTGCCACAATTGAAATGGCCTCGTTGAATTTGAAAGACATGACGGAACTTATTCTTGTTCAGCGGCTTTTTACGGGGAAACTCCAAAGTTATACAGAAACTTCGATAGTCGATCACCAAGACTCTCAGAACTTAGAGATGGGTTCTCCATGATTACAATTGAATTGTTATCGAGATATCGTATCGTAAGCAGTAACTTTTTATATCCTTGCAGGAAATAATAGTTTTAGTCAGCAGTTTCCAGCGCTTTCGCCCCCTATAAAGAAAATATTTTCTTGACCAGTATTAGCAGCCGAGTTGATCTAGCTATCATTAAAAGGGATGATCACTTAAATCAATTTATGTAAAGAGCCTCGGAAAATCTTGAAAAATTCGCTGATTTCACTTATAAATATTTTATATACATATGAATGTATGTCTATGCCGTAGGAAGAAGGTTAAGGATCAGCCGGTTAATCTCAAGACATCTGTAAACCATCCAGTAGTTGCAAAATATATCGCCCACATAAAACGCTGTAATGACCACTATAAATAACCAATAAACGCAAATATACAGAATCACACGTTCAGATTTTTAAATAGATTGTCTATTTTAAGTTCAATATACATTTATTCCTTTGTTACTACTAAGTACCTCGAAATAATGTTACTAAAAACTGCTCTTTAAATATTTTATTGAAATTTAGTGTATGGAAGAGTAACATAATTTTTCATGATATAAGAAAACAAAAATCAGGTTTTTATTCATAGGTTTTGTGTCAAGACCATATTACCGACATTATTGATAGCTCAAAAAAAAAAAAAAAACAAAATACGAATGAATTTTCCGATATGGATATATACCTCCTTCAAGTCGATTAAACTTCACAAACTTAATCCGTGGACCTTATGTTATACAAAAGTGCTTATCAAACACCAATTGTGTCATTACTTCAAACCAAAAACTTCCTTTAGCTCCGATAGTTGCACAGAGTCAGATTGTTTCATCTGCAACAACTTCCCGTAAGCACTTATAAAGGGTCCGGGGTTTTGTAGATGTGGAATGCAACGTGGTATAGCCTGAAAGTACTATGAAAATTAAAAAGAAAAGGTTACATTTTAATTTACTTACCTCAAACAATTCGGATACAATTTCAATTCCAAGTTTTGCATTCATAGAATCATATACCATTTGCAGACCGAATGTTGATATCTTTGAATATTGGTTTACAAAAGTGTGTAGCAATACTTTAACAATATTCACCACTTTCGCTATCTTCTTAAGGTCTACTTCGCCAGCGGCAGAAATTTGGTTGAAGAAATTTGAAGGAAATGTGTAGCAAAATGATTGGTTTGGAAATATATATGAAATTAAAAATTCATAACAAATGGAAGGATAGAGCTCTGAGGCATTTTCCTTTGCTAATATATTTATAAGTACTCCGCCAGGCGTAATCATATTAGCGACGACGAGCTTGTAGATTTTTCCACTGCTGCAAGTGATCTTTGAAATTCTGTCGATCACTCTATTTAAATCCCAGATAAAAAGCTGAGTCAGCTTTTCTCCGTTTAGATATCCGTTTTCAACTGCTGGATGGTTTACAGATGTCTTGAGATTAACCGGCTGAACCCTGTCACTACTGAAGACAAGTACACGTTGGGGTTCTACTGTAAATGGCACCTTAAGCCGAAGAAAGGGAAAATTCAATTTTGGCAATTCGGCTTTGTAGAACTTAACTGCAAGTTAAATCGAATAGTAAACAGAGAAAAATGAATAGCGAAATTGTTTATATATATGTCTGAATGTTTATATGTACATATGGATGTACACGTGTGTAGATTGGGAATATTGTCAAAAATAAGGTTCATGGCTATTATAATGGACGGCAATTGGCTGATTTTTGCTGTTACCGCTCATTTTCATTTTGGGTAACGCAAGCTAACACTTTCACGTAAGTATGTACACATGCATATACATATATGTACATAAATTCCTGGGAACTGCGACTTACTTGTATCTTCCCAGTTGCTCACTGTCCCCTTGAAAATAGAATTAATCTTGATTAGTTCTTGATCCATTTTAGCGGATATTTCGGATGCATCCTGGGAATATGTCTGGAACTTGGGTTTTGGGGCTTCTAATAGTTTTTCAGCCACAATTGAAATGGCCTCGTTGAATTTGAGAGACATGGCGAAATTTATTCTTGGTCAGCGGCTTCTTACGGGGAACTCCAAAGTTATACAGAAACTTTGATAGTCGATCACCAAGACTCTCAGAACTTAGAGATGGGTTCTCCATGATTCTGGTTATAAATTGATTTTAATCGAGATATCGTATTCTAAACAGTGGCTGCGTTCAGCAGAACAACATGATCACTGTTAATTTCTTACGATAGTTCTGCTGAACACGTATGATCACTGAACACGTCCCGACGTAGTCATATGTACAAATGTAGAAGAAAAAATGTTACAAAATATAAAATGTATTATTTTTGTTTGTACATTTTCCGAACTTTCCTTTGGCAGCATATAGTTTCTATGGAATCTGAACGATATACATGGAAGTTTAATCTTCTCCGTTTTGACATAAATATAAACTACTGAGAACATGAAATGAGAACTAACCAAAAAGTTTAATTCAGATAGATTCAAAACTGAGAGACTAGTTTTTGTAAAAACGAAAATACATAGTCAAATCGAATTGCCTGCTAATACTGGGCAAAAAATATTTTCTTTATTGGAGCAAAAACGTTGGAAAATGCTGACAAAAAATATACCACTCTACAAGGGTATTACCCTCTAGTGCCCAAGACCGCCTCTAGACGGGCAATGTAAAAAACACCGTTATTTTATTATTTTCATTCCCTTTCGCACGGTTTTGCGTTTTTTCTAATTCAGGAAAGTCCAAAAATTAAGTTCGTTGCGTTTGGAATATATACTAGAGCTAGCGCAAGCTGCTGTATTCATTTGAAGTTGAAAATTTGTGCAAATCGGGCAAAATAATTAAATAATTATTTTGTAGGAAATGCAACATATAAATACTTTTTTTAAAAATTGGAAAAAAAAAATTGAAAAAAAATTGTACTGTGTTGCTGACAGTCTCCAGACATTTATAATAAACATTTAAATAAAAAAAATTTTTCACCTAATTTTTTGTTGGCCTATCTTCCCAGAACCGCCTTCATGCGGTCCAAGGTTTAGTCATATAAAACTCGATCCGAGCAAAAGTAAAATTTTTTCCAAAACAAACATTCACTTTTGATACATACTGAATCCAAAAATAATTTTTTTTTTTTGAAAAAAAAATTGGGGCACTAGAGGGTTAAGAGTCACTGCCTACGATACGATATCTCGATAACAATTCAATTGTAATCAAAGAGAACCCATTTCTAAGTTCTGAGAGTCTTGGTGATCGACTATCAAAGTTTCTGTATAACTTTGGAGTTCCCCGTAAGAAGCCGCTGACCAAGAATAAATTTCGTCATGTCTCTCAAATTCAACGAGGCCATTTCAATTGTGGCAGAAAAACTATTAGAAGCCCCAAAACTCATATACCAGACTTATTCCCAGGATGCAGCCGAAATATCCGCTAAAATGGATCAAGAACTAATCAAAATTAATTCTATTTTCAAGGGGACAGTGAGCAACTGGAATGAGACAAGTAAGCAATTCGCTGGAATTTAATGTACATAAATATGTATGTACGTATTTGTATACCCGTACATATGTACATATGATTGAGAGGAAATCTGGAAACTTTTGAATTCCTATTTTTCTATTATTCATAAGTATGACCATAAATATATATGTACATGCATACATACATATGTACTTACATTTGTGTATTCATATTTCTATTCTGGCAATTTTCATTCTTTTTTTGCAGTTGAGTTCTACAAAGCCGAAGTGCCAAAATTGAATGTTCCCTTTCTTCGGCTTAAGATGCCATTTAGAGTAGAGCCCGAACGTGTACTTGTATTCAATAGTGACAAGGACCAGCCGCTTAATCTCAAGACATCTGTAAACCATCCAGCTGTTGAGAACGGATATCTAAACGGGGAAAAGCTGACCCAGCTTTTTGTCTGGGACTTAAATAGAGTGATAGACGGAATTTCAAAGATCACTTGCAGCAGTGGAAAAATCTACAAGCTCTTCCTGATCAATGAGACTGTGTATGACGCATCGTTTATAACTATAGCAGCAATGGAAAAAGACACAGAGGTCGATCCTTCATTTTCTTATGAATTTATGCTTTCATTTAATTTTACAAACAAATCATTCCACTACTTATTATTTTCGAATTTCTTTCGCCAAGTCGAAGAAGCCGCTGGCGAATCATACTTTAAGAAAGATGCAAAAAAGCTGCAGGATCTTAAAATATTGCTACAAACTCTTGTAAATCAATATACAAAGATATCACCATACGGTCTGCTAAAGGTATATAATGCCATGCAAATAGAATCTGAAATTGGATCCCAATTGCTTGAGGTAAGTTAACTAAAATGTTACCTTTTCTTTTTAATTTTCATATTACTTTCAGGCTATACCACTTTGCATTCCACATCTACAAAACCCCGGACCCCTTATAAGTGCTTACGGCAAGTTGTTGCAGTTGAAACAATCGGACTCTGTGCAACTATCAGAGCTCAAGGAAGTTTTTGGGTTAAAATAATGGCCTGATTGGTATTTGATAAGAACTTTTGTATAACATAAGGTCCACGGATTAAGTTTTTGAAGTTTAAGCGACTTGAAGGAGGTATATATCCATATCGGAACATTCATTCTTATAATTCTTTTTTGCGCTATCAATAATGTCGCTAATATGGTTTTGACAGAAAAACTTTTGAATAAAAACCTAATTTCTGTTTTCTTATATCATGAAAAATAAATAAAATAAAATATTTAAAGAGCAGTTTTTAGTAACATTATTTCGAGGTACTTAGTAGTGACAAAGGAATAAATGTATATTGAACTGAAAATAGACAATCTATTTAAAAATCTGAACGTGAGATTCTGTATATTTGCGTTTATTATACCCTTGCAGGGTATTATAATTTCAGTCAGAAGTTTGCAACGCAGTGAAGGAGACGTTTCCGATCCTATAAAGTATATATATTCTTGATCAGCATCAACAGCCGAGTGGATCTAGCCATGTCCGTCTGTCCGTTTCTACGCAAACTAGTCCCTCAGTTTTAAAAATCTGAATGAAACTTTGCATGTAGTCTTCTATATACTCTCACTGCTATATTGTCGGAACGGGCCGTATCGGACGACTATATCCTATAGCTGCCATACAAATGTTCGATCAATTTTTAGAAAAAAAATTATAACTTGGCTGTTTTTCAATATTATTCCATCATTTTTGAGATAGCCATTTTATAATCAGGCCTGCTCCGGTAATCGAAAACGGCAAGATTTTTTCGTTTTCGTTTTTGAAAACGAGAAATTGATGCTCCGGTAATCGAAAACGAAAGATTTTTTCGATTTGAAAAACGGGCACCTTTTTCTGGCCGGAATGAAAAATAAATGGCTTTTTTTTATATGAAATCAGATCTTATTTACAAAAGGAAAATAATTGTTTACTCAGTGGTTTATTGATGTTTATTCCACACCACCACAAGATCATTCTGACTGGTCAGTGTTGCCAGATGAAAATTTGGCTCTCCCCCTAAAAAATCGCCAAAAGTTGAAATTTCCCCCTAAAAAATGCAGTTTTCCCCCTAAATTAAAAAAATCAGTTAATTTCATAAATATAAGGACGAAACATATTTTTGTTAGTTAATTTTAATGTTTTTTTTTACATATGCATCGATAATTTTTTCTGAAAACTCGGCATGGAAACCTCTTTGTTCACAAAAAGTTTCAAAAGTTGTTGCAATTGTTCGGTAAATCATAAATTCTACAATGTTTTTTTAAAACATAGTATTAATACAAGTTAAAAAAAAACCCTAAACTTTCCCCCTAAAAATTCTTCCCCCCTAAAATTCCCACTAGTACATCAAAAAACCCCTAAATCTAGGGGGAAAACCCCTAACCTGGGAACACTGTGACTGGTAGTTATTTTATAAAAAATTTATTTCTGACCCCTCCTCAGATTTGACAACAAAATTTTTGCCGTGTGCAACCAGTTTTCTCGTTTTGGCGATAGGTCGATAAGTTCACCGCAAAAAGTTATCGCCAAGATTGCCATATTGTTGGTGGAACGAAACAGCCAGTTAAAAATACTTATAAAATATAAATGAATACATTAATAACTTTAAAGGACCGCCAAAATGGTTGTTTATAAATAATGCTATTTATTATTATTATTTTATTATTATTATTAAATGGTCCAAAATAACCAAATAATTACTTGAGACCACCGGAATTAAAACTGTGAAAAGTGTGGCAGCATCTTAGGTGCATGGATTTGCTTAATTCTACCATTTTTTGCCTTTTTATGGCTTAGAAAAAGGGCAATTGTAAATATAATAGGCAGTACTTTACGTTGTTTACTTGTTACCAAACAACACAAGTTAGCTGCTTGAGCAGTGAGAAACGATGAGAAAACGAAACATTCCGATAGCAGAAATTTGCCGAAAACCGGAGTAGCTAAAAACGAAAACGGTTCGTTTTCGCCCAAAACGAAATCGAAAAAATTGTACGATTACCGGAGCAGGCCTGAATAGTACATCGTTCAAAAAAAAAAAATAAGCGTTCTTCGTTCACAGATTTCAGATAAAAGTGGCCAATAAAAAAAATGTTAAAAATTTATATATCTGGTTAAAAAAATATCACGATTTAAATATATATTTTTATTCAAAAAATATCGATATATTGATATTTTGATATATTTTTCACATCCCTGAACTTTAGAGTTCCCCGTAAGAAACCGCTGAACAAGAATAAATTTCGCCATGACTCTCAAATTCAACGAGGCCATTTCAATTGTGGCAGAAAAAATATTAGAAACTCCAAAACCCAAGTTCCAGACATATTCCCAGGATGCAGCCGAAATATCCGCTAAAATGGATCAAGAACTAATCAAGATTAATTCTATTTTCAAGGGGACAGTGAGCAACTGGGATGAGACACGTAAGTCGTAATTTCTTGGAATTGATGTACACATATGTACATGCATATGTACGTACGTGAAAGTGTTAGATTGTGTTATCCAAATAAAAAATGAGATGCATCAGAAAACCTCAGTCAATTGCCTACCTTGAAAGTTTTATTTTTAACAACATTCCCAATACACTCACATGTACACAGATATACATACATATGAACATTATCGCTATTCATTTTTCTCTGTTTACTATTCGATTTATCTTGCAGTTCAGTTCTACAAAGCCGAATTGCCAAAATTAAATTTTCAGTTTCTTCGGCTTAAGATGCCATTTACAGTAGAGCCCCAACGTGTACTTGTTTTCAGTACTGACAAGGTCCAGCCAGTTAATCTCAAGACATCTGTAAACCATCCAGCAGTTGAGAACGGATATCTAAACGGGGAAAAGCTGACTCAGCTTTTTATCTGGGATTTAAATAGAGTGATCGACAGAATTTCAAAGATCACTTGCAGCAGTGGAAAAATCTACAAGCTCGACGTCGACAATATGATTACGCCTGGCGGAGTGCTTATAAATATATCAGCAAAGGAAAATGCGTATGAGGAATATCCTTCAATTTGTTATGAATTTTTAATTTCATATATATTTCCAAACCAATCTTTTTGCTACACATTTTCTTCAAACTTCTTCCAACAAATTTCTGCCGCTGCCGAAGTAGACTTTAAGGAGATAGCGAAAGTGGTGAATATTGTTAAAGTATTGCTACACACTCTTGTAAATCAATATACAAAGATATCACCATACGGTCTGCTAAAGGTATATAATTCCATGAAAATAGAATCTGAAATTGGATCCCAATTGCTTGAGGTAAGTTAACTAAAATGTGACCTTTTCTTTTTAATTTTCATTGTACTTTCAGGCTATACCACTTTGCATTCCACATCTACAAAACTCCGGACCCCTTATAAGTGCTTACGGCAAGTTGTTGCAGTTGAAGCAATCAGACTCCGTGCAACTAACAGAACTCAAGGAAATTTTTGGACTAAAATAATGACCCAATTGGTATTAGATAGACAGTTTTGTATAACATAAGGTCCACGGATTAAGTTTGTGAAGTTTAAGCGACTTGAAGGAGGTATATATCCACATCGAAACAGTCATTCTTATGATTCTTATTTTGATCTATTAATGATGAGGGTAATAAGGTTAAGACACAGATAACCATGAAAATGGCCCTAATTTTTGTTTTCCCAAAAATATTAATTTATGTTAATTTTCCATGTACGAAATTTGAATAAAATGTTTTAATTACTTTGTTTGTTCCAGGCACTTCGTAGAAGCAAAATGCCATTTTATACGCAGTGAAAGAAAGTTATTTCTTTTTATGTTGACTTAAAATAAATAAACTTTCTGTTTTCAAATCTCAACGTGCTTTTCAGTATATTCTATTGGTTATCGATAATTGTTATTAGCGCGTTGTATGCTGCGGTATGTTTTCCATCTTTGTTTTTTTAAGCTTTCGCGGTACGGTCACTCTGAGCGCATTTCTCTCCCGCATTTCTCCGTCTGTTTTGTTTTCAAACGTCCAAAGCTCCAGAACTCGAGTCGCTTTCCGCTCCTCTATTTTCCTCGCCGAGCTAGGGCAATATTTACGCAAGTGCTTTTCCATCGCGTCGCGGCTTTTCCTCATAGTTTGTTTACATTTAACGATCGACTGTCTCTGTGTGTGTAAGGTGTTTGAATCGGATCTGCAATCTGTATTTGTGGTGGTTAGCCGGTGGCTAAAGTTCGCGTTTTAAGTTTTGCGTTTTGTTTTGCTTTGAGCTCAAAGACAACCTGCGTTTTCAATTGAAAGCGACACATTTTCATATTTGCTTATTTGCTGGACAGGTAAGCTATACACATAAGCCTGCACACGTACCGGTTACAGTTACTTTCCGATGCTGCACACATACTTACGTTTAGTAGTTTTCTGGGCATTAAAAACAACAATAAAAGGAAAAACAAAAACGGGTTGTGTGAAGTGAAGTTTTTGCCACATGTGAGTGTGGGTGTGTGAGTAAGATAATTGATTTTGACAAAAAGATACTGCACTTTAAGGCAGCAACAACAACGTGCGTGTATGTGTGTGCATTTGTTATCCCTAAAATTACACATAACAAAAAAATTGAGTATATTCGGGTATATTTTCCATCTCATCTTCATAAATTTTACCATTAAAATAAAACAGAAAATTAAGACAAACAACAAATATATAAATATATTGACACCGATATTTTTTACCTTTAAATCCTAAGGTTTAAAAATATTAAATTCAAGAAATGTTAAATATAAAGCACTGACTCGAATGTTATTCATCGAAAGGGCTTATTTTGATATAGATAATTCCTGTATATAAGAAGTTTCCCTGATCCGAAATCTGCTCTTTACTTTTTGTTCTTATTTTTGATGAACAATAGAATTATACCAAAGCTTTTTTCTAGAGGAAATTATATCTATTTGGTCTTCTGTTCACTGAGGATTTAAAGTCTCTCTTGCAATTAGATTCGGCTGCGGCCAATGAACACACAAAAAAAGACCGCTTCAACAAAAAAAAAAAAAAAAGAAAAACAAAACAGAACTCGAAATCGAGAGAAAAAGGTCACGGCACTTGCTGCTTGCTTGCGAAGCTTTAATGGGCCGCCTTGGGTTAAAAGCAAACAACAACAATGCAAGCGGACACCTTGTTAGCCCCATCTCACTCACTCTCTTGCCGTCTGTCCCTCTCTTTTGTATCTGCTATTGAAAAATAATAAAGATTTCTCTGCAGTTGCAGTGTTGGTACTGCTCTGCTGTCGTCACAGTAATCAATAATTATAATTATCGAAATCAGAACAGCGCCAAGCAGTCTGTCTCTGTCTTGAATCTGACCTCCTTCCACTGCGCCCTTCGCCCTCACATATTTACAGTTGAACTTCCTTATTCGCTGATCAAGTCGACTTTATATTAAAATTATGTTTACTAAGTTCTTTGTTTGATTTACTATTGATTTTCAGAGCTTTAAAATAATCATTTCCGTGTGAGAGTTGTAATAAATTATAAAATATTAGGTTCCAGTTAAATTACATTTATTTCTCATTAAATATGTTGTTTAAGTAAAAAGAATTTGGTCCAAAAAAATATGTAAATGGTTTCATAAAAACTGCATTAATAATCAATAAATTAAAGTTGTTTGGTGAATAACTAAACAAGTTTGAAATTGATTTGTAATAAACAAACATAATAAATAAATTGGGTTGCTTATTGGATCTTTAGCATATTTATAAATTTAAAAAATTCATGAAAAATTGAATTCTTGAATTACCTTGTAATAATCTGTGAACAAATTTAGGGACGTTCCACTGTATCAAAGTTTTCTGTTTCAGTTTGCCTTTGCATATTTTCTCACAGTTCCCGCGATGCTGAAAAAAAATGTAAAAATTTCTTGCAAATACCTGCATATGTATGTATGTGCACACACATATTTTTATGCCTCTGCTCTTGTTGCCTTTTGCAAAATTTGTATCGAGTTACTTCGGTGGCTGCTCTCATTTGCATGCCGAGATACTCGTACCCAGTTGCTCTGGTTGCTGTTTTTCCAGTGATTATTTCTTGTGTCGCTGCCGCTTGGCGTTGCAGCAACTAAATTGGCCTTAATTGGTTGCCTTTTTGTTGCCAATTTTGTTGTTTCGCCGCTGCATTTGCTGTTTTTGTTGCCGCTGTGACCATATTTCTGTTGTCTCGGTCTCTTATCGGTCGTTGCCGGCCGGCTGGAAGCACTTTTGGCCACTTGGCTGAGTGCAGGCCACTTGTGGCATGCAGTCGAGTGTAATTTTTTATTTGCTACCTTGTTGCGCTGCCCTTTTAGGCTGAGTCTAATTGCTGCGGAATTGGTTTTGGCATGGGAAAGTAACTTTAAAGATGGTTTACTGCGGAAGTTCCTGTAAAACTAAACATAAAACAAATATAAGAAAATATAATATTTACAGCTTTTGAAGAATTAATTAACAAGCTAAGTAAATCAGCATAAATACTTTCGTTTCAAATTAAGTTTACATATTACTTTTTAAATGTTTGTGTTCATGGGTTTAAGAACGGTAAACTGCACAGAATGTTATTCCAAAATAAACTTTAAAGACACCAGAAATAAAGTTTTTTAATTGTTTTATAATTATGTTGCATCTTAGCTCTAAAAACTCTAGGGCATTAACCGTTCGAGGCGTTATATCGCTAATGCGATATTTCCCAATTTTATTTGTTTTGCCTGTCTGCTCGCGTTTTTGTGTAGCGTTTTTCCTTGCATTTTTTATGCGGTTTGCATGGCTTATTTGATTTAATTAGCCAAGCAGCCAGGCAGCAGCCGGTGAGCCGAGTTTTCATTATTGTTTGCAAATTGTGGGAAAAAATGCATTAGGCCCCCGCCACAGCCGCCGACAGGCTGCGTTTTATAGTCGTAAAAGTTTTTGGTGGTGATTATGCAATCGAAGCTCAGGAACCAGCCAATAAATCAAAATGCCATTCTCAAGACTCTGGCAACTGCTGCAAGTGCCACATGGGCACCAGCACCGGCACCGGGAGCAGCAACAATGCACTGAGCGGGCCCAGTATTCAGAGCATGTCAATGTGGGCCTCCGGTAATGCTAGCCACCTCCATCTCCACCTCGATCTCCCCGTGTTGCAGCAGCTCCTTCTTACCTTGTCGTAGGCCCACACATACTTTAGAACACTGGAAAATATTTAAACTCTCTTAAAACTAACTTGTGTGAATTTTATAAATCGATTAACAGTCATTTTGCAGATTTAAAAGGATAATCCTTTAATTTGAATAATATAATTTTAAATAATAATAAAAATCTCGCTTTGAAAAATTATAATCTTAAAACTTTGAATAACAAATGTTAGAACCTTGTTTTCTGTGTACGACATTTACCGTTTCGACAAGGTCTGCCCGGCCGGCCAGCTGCCAGTTGGTCTCGATCTCCCAGATTCTTGCCACTTGCTCCGAGTGCCTGCCACATGTGCCACCCATTGCACAATCGCAGAATCGCCGCCGAATCGCACAATGTGCGGCTGTCCCCGCTGTCAATAAGCCAGCCTAGCTAGTTTATTGAGTCGTCCGGGTCTCCGGTTGCCCGGCTCTCGGTTAACCCAACCAACCTGTCATGCCCACGCGTCGAGGCCAAGTGTTTGGGCCCGAAAAGCATCCGAGTGGCCACTCATTTTGTCACACTATACGATATATGTATGTACATATGTGCCTATGTTATGTGCTGCATACCCAGCACTCTCGAAAGGGAAGTGTTCTGCCAGTGTCCAAGGTGTGAGAAACGGTAAAGGTATCAGTTAACCACTCCAAGTCTTGCAAATCACCAAAGAAAACAGTGAAATATGCAAATCCTTCAGCGTTCTCAAACTAATTGGAATGCATTAAAGTGCTATTAACCCACCTATTTTTCCTAGCATTAAGGTGGGATCTGAAGGATATATATTAAGTTTCTTGATTGGATTCGATTTTGTCTTGGAGACTTTTATATTGTGAGATAGAGATTAGATTAAAATATGATGAAATTGTAAATATCTCAGATAAATCCATATCCGAGGTTTTTAGGCAGCGATTCTTGAGAGTTGTAGTACTAGAAGAACGAAATAGAATTGGAGTTACTCTTGGGTAGTTCCATGGTCGAGTGCCAATGTCTAGCTGTCATTTCCTGCCAGAGTTCTGCTGATTAAATTTCTATTTAAATTCTAGCTGCAATGGGCGGAGTGTGCGGGGTCAAGAACCCATAGGCTGACCCACTTGCCGCCAGCAGGCCACTCCGCTCACTCAGAAACACCTCGTTCGGACTCGGATGCGCTTTAGAAGCCTCCTCCTACATGGAATACTTACATCGACTAGCAGCCTGATCGACTGACCCACAAAGAGCCTTTTGGCCGGAGGGGAAAATGGACTTAAATATAGCTATCAGCTCGGCTTTAAGTGGCAGTCGCTGCCGCCTGAGAAAATTTATTGAATCTCATTGAGCAGCTTTCTATACTTTCTCGCTCGCGCACGGCCAAGGAAAAATGAAAATAAAAAAAATATAAATATAAAAAATCGCAAGCGATTTGTTTATTGCGGAAGAAGTGAAAAGTGCGGCCAAATCGCCCCGTCTTGCTGGCGCGTGCAAATTAATTTGTCTTAGACATTTCAAAGGCATCTCATGGATGCGTATCTCGCGGTTTTTGTGGTCACTCGGCTATTTACATTTCATGCCATATCGATATATGTGGTCATGTGGCTAGATACTCGATGAGTCTTATTTTCCTTTCGGCCACAAAGTGCGTTTTAATTAACCCAAGTGGCGACCTGACCAATTACTTTTGCCAGCTTCTGAGGATCGGGGACTGCCTACTGCCTCGCAGTCGCACTCGCAGTCTGCGACCTCAACTGGGATTCGCAATGACTTTCACTTTCCCGCCGGGCTTAGATATTTGCTGGGGCTTGGAGAAGGGGTTAAGGGGGTGTACGGTATACAGAGGCCCAAGCAGCGGAGGGTTAATGAGGATGCCACATTGCTGCACATTTCGTGCCGCTTCATTGTGATTATCTTGTTGAAAAGATTCAAACTGTGGCAGCCGCTTTCATGTAATTTATTTGTTTATTGTCTTGGCCAGGGCAAGGCCTCAGCTAACACCCGCACCTCGCACTCACTCCGCCCAAGCGTCGAACCCTCTGACGGATCCAACTACCCAACTATCCAGAGATCCAGCCAACCTAAACCTTTAATTTTGGATGGGCGGCGAGCGTGATTCGTGAGTCGATACTATACGGGAGTACTTGAAAAGTCAGTCAATCGATTTGGTAATGATATTAAATAAAATGAAAAGATGTACGATATATACAATTAATTAAATAATATACGTATTCTGGATGGGTAAACTTGAAGTTCTTTTATCATTTAAATTATACTCTTAAAACAATGTTAATCCTCTTTTTTTTTTAACATTTGTATCTAAAAACTTGATAATTGTTAAGTGAGTAAACCGTGATCACGAGACCATCTTCGGAAAAGTACAGGAGTCCGCTGCTGTTACACTTGCACTTGCCATTTGCTACTTGTACCGCTGCCGCTCGTTGCAGCTCCATGTTGCTGCCTGTGTTTACCTATCGTCTCGTTTTGTGTGGAACCGTTCAGCGTTGTCCGTCCAACAGAGCCACGGAGTCTTTGAGTCCGCCAGTCCATCAGTCAGTTGAGTTGGCCCGCTTGTCGCTCCGTTAGCTCGTTAGAGCTGAAGATGAACAAGTTTTTCCTAGACTCATTTCTTCATGAAGCCAGGAAGCCAGCGATTTCTCATCTTTGTTGCCTCGGCTGCTCTGGTTGTCTGCCTCTCCGTTGTTGATGTTGCAGTTAGTGCTTTCCCTTGCTGCAGCAGCCGCCACCCGCAACCTCTGCCCCCTAAAAAAAAAAACAAAAAAGAAAAACCACACACACACTAACAGCTCAGGCCTAATTAGCTCCACGGCATTAGCTTTTCTGGTACTTTGGAATCTCTGAATTGGTAAGATCCATCCCATGCACTTCACTTGTTGTTTCGCTTTCGTTCTCACATCCCGCCGCTAATGTTTTCCGCGGCACTGAGCTCTTCCAGCTCGCATTTTCGCATACCCATTTTTCACTTCATCAAAAGAAAGTTCCTGGCGATATTGGGTCCTCAAATTTAACGCTCAGACCGAGAGGAAAAGAAAGAAGAGAAGTGAAAAAAGCAGTCGGCGAATGAGATGAAAGAGTTAAGTGCATTTCCTGGAAATAACGTTTCCTCTGCCACAGCCAGCAGAAAAGCCAGTTCGCTTTTCCTAACTTTTCCGCACTTCGGCAGCTTTCAACTTGTTTCGATTTTGTGACTCTAAAGTTGTGTAAATTGAGGAGTTCTAACCCGAACTCGAAGTTGAACGATTCTTTTGTTTTATATGTTATGCAATCTTCGAATATTTTTGTTTTTAGAAGCTAAAAGGCTGAAATGTTCAATTTATAACTATTTAAATAAATTACAATTTCTTACAACGGTTGAACTATTTAAAATATTACTGATTAAGGGTTCTGTGTATTTATGGTTATAAAACAAAACAATGTTCCCTATAAATAGTGTCCCAGGGAAGCTGGTTGAGGAAACTAAATCGGTCTTTAAGAACAACTTTAATGAATCTACCAAAAGGAATGAGAAGGGAAGGTATGTTGCTTTTCTGTCTTTTAAAGATATGGCTTAAACCTAACCAGGAAAAGGTTCACTATTATAAAAGAAAAGGGTCATTGAGAGCTATATTAATTTTATTACAAATAAACTCCAAAGTTATTCGTAGTGTCGATAGTCAAAGGCAATTACAATATAAAAACCGACGTTTATAGGGTTTGTAATAATTTATTTGTTTTTTTCGTGATTCCAAAAATGTATTTTAATAATAACTGAGAACTTTCATCATTCTTTGGGCTTTAAAACTCAAAAGTCGTTCTTTGTGGTGGCCATCTACAAAGCCATCTTCTGTTTGAATGCATTTGTCTCTCCACTTGGCTGAATCTCCCACCTTCTCCAGCCGGCGGCTGCTTGAGTCATGCGATATGCGAGAGAAACAGAAGATCGGACCAGAGAACCCGATCCGTGGATCAGTGGAGTTTGGTTGGGTTTTGGCCGAGACTCGAGTTGAGTTAGCGCGGGTACTAAGTGGAGCCAAACTCGATTTCAGTTGCGGCTCCGCAGCAAGTTTCTTTCCGTTTGTTTTCGTTGGCTGCGTTTTGGCCACATTCCCTGCTCGCTGGCCTGGTCGCTTCTCACATGATTAAGCCAGATTGCTTTCAGCTGGCAGCCTCAGAGTCGGAATCGGAGGAGAAGATCGCAGTCTCCGCTGAATCTGCGGATCTGCATGAGTTTCTGCCTCTCGGTTTCTGCACACTGCAGTTTGCCGTTTGCCTATTTATAGCTCGGCGCTTTGGACTTTGACCAGATCTTTGAGCCAATGACGCAGCTTCTTTTATCATACAGATAAAGAAAAGACTTCGGCATTCTTTATTTTGAGTAAATATTGTCCTACTTTTATGGGGTTTCTTAATTTGTAATTAGGATTTAATATGATTTTTTTAAATTAAAACTTTGCTATCGATCGTAAAACAAAACAATAAATATATTTAAGTTAAATGTTTATAGTCAATTTTAAATAACAAGAGTGCAGTGTTTCTGAATTTCGAAAATATCTAAACCAATACTGAGACAGCACGAATTATTAATCTTAAACATTGGTTACTTGGTTACTTTGGTACTTAAATGAGTTACTCAACTTTTGGAAAAACATAAACCAAAGAGATATTTACAGAATTTACGGCTTCTGCTAAGCTGAAGATGTCTTTCAAAACGTAAAGAAGATGTCTTAAAAAATCGTAAAATAGATTGGGGCCACAAGGATTGATGAGGTTGAAACGATATTCTATGGTTTTTTTTGTATAACAACTGCTTTAAGTTCAAGAGATATTTGCGAAAGCAAAATGATCAATAAAATTTAAAACCAATATGCTAGTAATGGCTAAAATTTTGTTTGTGTGCTACGATTTACATCATCTGCATCCAGCGGGGGAATATGTTATGTGGCTGCTCGAGTGGCGGAGTTCAGGCCCTGAGAGGTCGTAGAAGTCGCCGGGTCCATGGCGAAATCTTTAGCACACTCGACCTGGCTGCATTCTGGTGGGGAGGAGGAGCCGAGAAGCGGAGGCATATTCTGCCCCGAGACCATTGCGAAATGCAAATATCAACAGATGAGCAAATCGTTTCGTTATTTCTTTGACAGCACAGCGCAAACGTTGCATCAAAGTGGGTAAACAAAGGCCTTAGTTGGCGGAGATGATGGGTTTACCTTGGAGCCCCGCCGGGCGGAGAATCCGATTCAGAAGATCTGGCGGCGGCTGATGAACGGTTGACCCACTCGAGTGGACTTGGATTTGGCCAGCGAATGCATTCTGCGAGCGACTTCTCGGACTCTAATTCAATTGATGCTAATTGCTAATTGCATAATAATTCATTCATTCGGCCTCGGACTTCCGCATTGCAAAATCTGTGCTACAAATGCAAAAGTCCCTGCGCACAGGTCTTTAATTAAAGCCAATGAAGAGTTGTTGGCCATTGCAAACAAACACTTTGTGCAGCGGCAGAGTGCCAAGGAGGCGTTTGCATTACGAGCACCGAGTGTGGATTACTCATACGCCCCATCGTCCAGATGGACACGCCTCCCCCGGTGAATCAATGGCAACGCCCAGCTTTTGTGAGCATTTTCCCTGCGTCATGGCTCGAAATCACATGAGTCGGAAAACTGGCAAGGAGGCCAAGTCGAAGGCTGGCATATTTATTGCCCAGCATTGATTCTGCTCTTAACTGGGCTCTGGGTGAAGATCTGGCTGATTGCGCAGCTTATTGGCCGTTTGAAATTTAATTGAAAACGACTAAACCATTAATACAGAGGAGAAATCATTGGAACGTGGCTGTGTTTTCATGTTTTGTTTCTCACAAATGCATATTTCATGATTCAAAATTCAAATATCAATGGTATTTAGACCTTTATAGCTATAGTAAAATAATATATCTTTACTTAAATTTAAGATTTCATTTACAATAAAACTAAAGAACTTGTCTCGGAGAAACATTTGCAATTTAAATTTAATTGTGAAAAGTGCACTTATTATTTGAGGACGAGTATGTGCTGTTTTCTTTTTTTGGCATCCGTTTTTTTCTGCCTTGTTAATTTTCACTTTGTCCGGCCAGCGGAAAATCACGAAGAAGGAGAATCGGAAAACCTTTTCAAGTTCATGGCTAGGAGCGAACAACAAATACGAACAACGCCTGAGAGCTGCAATTTCTGAATTAGCCAAATTACTATTATTTGCCGCAGCCCAAGCACAGATACAAAGCCAAGCACACACACGTAGATACAGGCTCTCATAGATTTAAAACCAGACACGGATACACTGAGACAACAACGGTTAAAGAAGATATTATTGATAAGGAATATATAATGTTATATTAATGTTTGTATTATTATCATTAATAAATTATATTTTGGTTAGAATCCATTCCTAAATCCACAATTTCCATGTTTAATTTGTATCTCTCAGTGTACTGACACAGCCACAGCCTTGTCTGTCTGGCTTTTCGCCTTGGCTCTCAAATTTTTGGCCCTGCATTCGGCTGAATGATTTAATGTCCTTTTTGGCAGCCACACCCCGAAAATCTCACCCCAAAAAACGCTCTGCAGTTGTGCAAAAATGTTGTTGTCTAGACTGCGGCAAATGAACTTTATTTGGTTTTCCCCTATTCTATTTCTCTCTATTTTTCTACTTTTCTATTTCTCATTTATTTTTCGGCGAAAAGTGAGTGTTTTTTGGCGGGGCTCCCTCCGCTTTAGCCGGGCGGGAGCTTAAGGACCTTCCCCCAATTCAATTTATAATGCCGCGACATTTTGCACTTTGCTTGGCTTCATGTTTGCGTGACTCCAACAAAAAGAAACAAAAAATTAGCCAAATGATAACATTTTTTTCTTGTTTTTGTATTTTTATTTCAATTTTAATTCAAAGCGGATTTTGGCATTACCTTGGCGGGGTCTTTGTTTCGCCTGGGGAAATGGAAATGGCAGTCGGGGTTTCGGGACTCGGAGGGGTTCAATGGAGTTCAGTTTTGATATTTGCGTGTGCCTGGCCGCAAAAACTTTTCGAACCACGATGCGCATTGCCGATAAGGTCGCTCTCCCTCTCTCTGTCTCTAAATAAAAGGGTTTTGCATTGCATAACACCATCAATCTTTTGACCAGGCCAAAAGCACTGGCTCTCTGGGAGGATAGGCTCTGCCGCAGGCCATATATCATTCACAGTGTCTGGCTCGCTTAACAACATGCAACACAACACCGAGCAGCACGGCACGGCTCAGAAATGGAAAACAGCAATTAAAGCCCGTGAATTGACAAGAAACTGCAGATCCAAGCAATATTTGCGAACAATTGTAATCTGGCAGAGACAATTGCGGCTTTGTCTTTTTGCGAATTCAGGGTGAGGCTGCCGGCGAAATGTTGGCCAAATTGTGGGGTACTTTTCTGCCATGATTTGCCATTATTTCTTTTGGATAGTTAAAAATTCAATTTGCATATTAACCCAAGAAAAGGGAATGCAACGAGCTGGAACCTTCAAAATAATTGTTTCTAAACTCTAAGCAAATTAACTGAAAGGCTCAAAGAGAACTTTAGTAATTCCGAGACACTTTCATTCGGAAATCTACTCATATTTGCAGGTTTAGTGAAATATTTATGAATTTTTTAACTATTCGCAAGGGAATCTTGGGCTATTTTAGCTAAAGTCATTGAAATTAATTCCTCTACTTTAGCATAATTTATAGTCCTCATTATTTGGTTCTCTCTTCGCTGATTGAAGGTCAACAGCAAAGAAAACAAACTGAAATAAAATATAAATTATAAATTGTGCACAAATTGCGATTAAGGTCAAGTTTGACTTGTGTTTTTTTTTCTTCAAAAGCAGCTGCTTAACCTGCTTCGAGTGGAAATCCCCTCTTCTCCGTGAACTCTCATTTTAATTGCAGAAACGGAAACAGAAACACATTAATTTCTGGCAATTGAGCCACGTAATTAACAGAGATGATGACGATGCTGTAAGGTTACGAGGAGTCACAAAATTGCACCGCCAGCAAATGATTCTCGATTCTGCAACGTCCACTTCCACATCCACAGAAAATCTGCAACTGAGTTGCGAGTTCATAAATTTTGCGGTTTGTCGAACCTTGGCCATAACGGTATACATATATATAGTGCAACATGCTGCGATTCTGCCGTGTTTGCTTTTTGGATCGTTTCGGTCTCTTTTGTTTTTTTGCCAGCTCAATGTTTGTGAATGAAATATTTGAATCGGCAGAAGCAAGCGGTTATAAATCGAACAGAGTCTGTTATATGGCTGAGGATTGCAGGGGTAAATGCGGTAAATCATGCGGCACGAAATCTTTTTATTATTTTACGATGATTGAAATTTAAGGGTCACATTCTAGGGAATTTCTTTAAACTCTTTTTTGGTTATAATTTAAACACTTGGGAGCAGTTGATGGTATTTGAAATATTTTAAAAAGGATAGAAATAATAAGTTAGTTTGTAGCATGAATTCAGGCTTTTTTCAGTTTCATTTACCATAACCATCTCTAACTAATCATTTTCCATTAATCTTAGAACCCAAAGAGAACTCGGTATAATTAAATTTGACACTAATTCCCTATCTCTGACTTCCCCTTAATCAAATCCGGCAGTAGAATTGCCATTAATTACCATGGCCGTATCTTAAGTCTAAACTTCTTGCATAATTTCCATGGAAATGGCAGACCAAACACAAAACTTCATTTTCTACAATCGCTTACACTTATCCGCCGCTTGTTTTGCTTACTTTCGCTGCCAAGCCGCAAAAAGCAAGGAAAACGAGCAAAACAAACGAAATAAATAAGACGGCAATAAAACCGATAAAATACACATACAAAATGTAAAAAATAAATAAAATGCTTAGGGGGTCGGTTGGTCCCGGTGCACTGGACTCTCCTCCGCCTTCTCTTTACCTTGGCCACGCCCACGCAGCGTTTTGGCGATTTCATCGAAATGCGCATAAATTTGTGGCCAGCACTGTGGTTTCTGCGGGCTTTCAGGCAAGTGAGACTTTTGTGGCGCCCACTGTTCATGTGGGTGGTCGCCGGCGGAAAATTGGAGAAAAGATCATTTGCATCTTTCTCTACGGTTTGCAAGTGTGTGTTTTGAGACACAGAAAAAATATATAGTAAAAATGTTTTAAATATTAAATGGTATTCATAAATTTGAAAAGATGTTCAAGGATTTTAGTTCCTATTTAAAAATGTAATGTTATAAAAAGTTCTTTAAAAAAGTAAGAAAAAACGAGAATTCTGCAAAGCTATGTAGTAAGAAAATATTTATTAATATTAATAAGAAAATTATAATAAAAGCATAAGAAAAATGCATTAACATATTTCTAAATAATTTAATTAAAATTTACAGACATCAAAAAAAACATAGTTTTTACTCTAAAAGGATTATTTCCTGTGCATTTGTGTGTTTGGCATCGATTTCTAAAGCAAGAAAATTTGCATTTAATTGGGCAGATCTCCAAGCAAAAAAACAAGCGGAGGTGCGACTGACTAATACATTCAGCTTTGAAGTGACAACCTCTGACCATTTCTCGAGGAGCCTGGGAAAACGCAGCAGATGAGATTTGGCTGACATCAATCAGCCGGAGATCTTTGCATTTGTCTGTTTTTCTTTTGGGGGGCCGGGGTTTGTTATTTTATCTGCGACACGATGACGTTTTCAAAATTGAAAAAGACAAAAAACCGAAACAAAACAAAACGAAAGAAAAAACCGATGAGTGAAAGTACATTTTCGTATGTTGTGCTGCAGTTGTTGTCATTTCATTTCATTTCGTTTCGTTTCGGCCGTAATGTGTGTAAAGTTTGCAACCGTCGACAGACGACTTCTCATGGCTGTTTGTCTCCTCGTCTTTTGATTGTCTGGCGATAGCCAATTGAGATTTTCATTTGTCAGTCAAAACAGTCGAACACACGGCAAGAGCGCGCCGAGCTGCACAGAAGAAACAGAAGAAAGACGACGAAAAAGACGCGTCTGTCAATGACACAGAAAGAGAGTTTAAATCTTCTGGGCCCGAGCATGATATGTACTTGTTACTTTGTTACTTGGCTTCACCGTCGCCGTTGCAGTGAGACTGATTAGACTTTTGTCGATGTATTGGCGTTTCACTTTCGCTGATGCTGCTGGGATCTCGGTTTCTTCTGCGTCATCGAGAGATTTCCAATTCTCCAATCTTGGGCACGTGCTTCGCTGCTGGGAGTTCCAGAAACTCTTGGCCAGATAATCGTCAGTCGGAAGTGCACTGCCTCATCACTCTCGCTGAGAATCTA